CCTTGAAACAAAGCTGAGTTTGCAATCATTTGTCAAGCTGGCATTGTGTGTGGTATTCTTAAGGTTGGCAAGATGATTTTAGTTTTTTCTTTTTTATTGAAGTGTTTAACTTGTTTTCAAGCATGAACTCCTTTCTTGCTGGCCCCTTCATCCTCTCAAATAGGGCCCCTTCTTTCATGTAAGATATATCCCATTATTCTCCTGTTTTCCACTCTCCTTTGTTTTCACAACTTTCAAGATTTTTCATCCAAATGCTGTTGTCTACTAAGCAAAGAAGAGTTCTCCATGCCATGGCATACTCTAAAAAATGTATTTTCTCTTATATTCTTTCATGTGTGTAGATATGTGCATGTGCCCATGTGTTGTGTAAAAAGAAATCTTTTTTTTTGGGGGGGGGATGCAACACACTCAGGTCTATTCACCCCAGATAGGGAGCCCCAACAGACCAAAGTACTGATAGCACCAAAGTCTAATTCATTGAACCAATGAGTTTAACTGGGGCTGCTTATAGGAGTAGAGGTGAATGGTTACTTAGAAGAGCAGAAATGGTTCAAAGACTGCGCTATCACCAAAGCCCAAACCAGCATGTGTAACATATCACAAAGCTCGGAACCTGGAAACACTCTTTAACCTGCAGGAGCCCAGAGTACCTTTTCCAGATTCCTCCTCTGGTCTAAATTTCTTCAAAGCAGCTCCACTGATTTCTGCTTATTCCAGGTAGCTGGGCTGGCCTCAGCATCTTCTTTGCAGCTCAGCTTTCTTGGTCTGAGGGGGACTCTCAGCTTTTATTGCTTACTCTGGTAGGGAGGAGCCTAGTGAATCTGGTGAGTTTCAGGAACGTCCTGAAGTTATTTTGAGTTCTTTACTTTCCTGCTTAAAGAGCCTTCCTACAGATGGACTGTTTCAATCTTGCAGGAAAACTTTACATGATAGTATGTACATATAGAGGCCAGATGTCAATTTTGGGTGTCATTTGTCAGAAGCCATCCACTTTGTTTTTGAAATAAGATTCTTCATTGGTCTAGACCTTGATAATTATGTTAAGCTGGCTAGCCAATGAACCCATGGGATCTGCCTGCCTCTACCTCTCTATATCCAAAATTCTTTATGAGTTCTGGGGTCAAATCAAGGTGTGCATGCTTTCATAGCAAGCTTTTTACCAACTGAGCTATCTCCAAGGACTCTAGTGAATTCTTTAAAAGTTAAGTGAAATATAGAAGTGAGTATCTGAGTTTATAAAAAGAGGATCTTTATGAATTTTAAAACAATAATAAGTTACAGAGTGTCATAGTCTCTGAGTATTGTTTGTGAGATGATACCCATTCAAACCACTGTGGGCTTCTAATGACAAAAGAGGTATTTAGGAGTTACAAGTCCTAGAATATTCTTAAAGATCCCTAGCACCCAAGCAGAAAGCCAGGCATGTGGTGCTAAGATAGGTTGGAGAGGGGAATGGAGGATAGACCTGAAGCTCTTTACTGGCCTGCCTCAGCAAACCAATGGACTTCAGGTTCAGTGAAAGACTTTTCCTTAAAAAAAAGAAAAGGGGAGGCACTGATCTGTGTGGGTAGCAGAATGTCATTAGGAATCATTTTATTGCTACTTCCCCCCCCTCCCAGAACAGTAGTGTTTGATTTTACCCTAGGTCACTGGACCTAGTCTTTGGTTCTTGGTTTAAAAAAAAAAAAAAAAAAAAAACAGTTGTGCAACCATGATCAGAGAAGTTTCTTCCTGCAGCAGATGGGAACAAGTACAAAGATCCACAGCTTGATAATAAGTGGAGAGTGAGAGACCTTGGAATACTCAGCCCTAAAAGGAGTGTCTCTTTCAAATCCCTCCCCTCAGGGATCAGGGAACCCATGAAAGATGAGACCAGAAGAGTATAAAAGCCAGAGGGGAGGAAGGACACCAAAACAAACAAACAAACAAACAAACAAACAAAACAAAACACAAAGCCTTCTAAATCAACATGATCAAAGCTCATATGAGCTCACAGAGACTGCGGTAGCATGAGCAGGCCTGCACAGGTCTGCCCCAGCACCTCTGCGTGTATACTACGGCTTCCAGTTTAGCGTTTTTGATGGGGTCTCTGTGTGTTTGAACGAGTTTGCCTTCTCTTGGGCTCTTTTCTTTCTCTTTGTTTGCCTTGTTCAACTCCAATGCGTTAGTTTTTGCTTTATCATGTTATATTACTATATTATACTAGTGTATTATTATCCCTTAGAAGCCTGTTTGTTTTCTAATGAGAGACAGAGAGGGAATGGATCTGGATGGGAGGAGAGGTAGGAGAAATTGGGAGGGATAAAAGAAGGGGAAACTGTAGTAAGGATATATTATGTGAGAAAAAAATGTTTTCAAGGAAAAAAAAAATCACATTTTCTTAGAAGAATAAAAGAAAGTGGACAGTGGTTGAGGAAAGGCCCCAAAGTTGATCTCTGCCTTCCACGTGTGTGTACACACCCCCCCCCCCACATTCAGGACGTCCCCACATACAAACAAAAGAGTAAGAACTTAGAAAGATCAGTGTAATTTATTAAAATAGTCAATTTAACTTTTTAACCAACTAGGTATATGAAAAATCCCTCAGATTTATTATAGACTTAAACAGTCTTATCTCAGTGACTAAGCTTCTTAGTCATGAATCGAACTCTATTTCTCGCACAACGTTTTCACTTTCAGGTCAACTAGTTTTTGTTGACATTGTCTCTTTGACTTTCAGATCATCCCAAGAAACACTCCTTTTACTTTTGGTCTGCCGAGGTAACAGGAGCTCGCAGAATGGTTTCTCAGTAAACTTTGCCAGGCTAATAAAAATCTTAGCAACAAAAATCAGTGTTTGATAAATGATGTGCTTCAGGGGTTTGGGAGATGGCTCAGTTAGCGAAGTGCTGCCAGCAAGCATGAGGACTCGAGGGCAGTGCACAGGACCCACATAAAAGCTGGACACGGGGCTGGAGAGACTGCTCAGCAGTCAAGAGCACTGCCTACTCTTGCAAAGGACTGGAGTAACTCTTGTTCCAAGGGTCCCAATGTCCTCTTCTGGCCTCTGTGAGCACCAGATGCTCACGTGGTGGAGACATACATGTAAGCAAAACGCTCACCCGAATAAAATAAACTGAGTAAATCTCAAAAATGAAAATGCCGGACTTGTGAAAATGTATGTACTTGTGAGCCTAACACTGGGGAGAAGGAAACAGGTAGACACCTGGGTGTTCTGGCCAGCCAGTGCAGTTACCAGTGAGATCCAACATCAATAAACAAGGTGGGCGTCACCCGAGGAACAGCATCTGAAGCTGACAGCTGTCAGCCATGTGCATAAATACCCTCACATGCACATTCACCTGCACACGTGTACACACACACTCCCATGAACACAACACTCCCTTGTACACGTACGCACATGCACGCACATTATGGCAGTGATCAGTCATCTTCTAATTCAGTTGACGGTGCATTGATTAACATACAGCCTCATGATGCGCTCAGCTGACCACTCCTGTTGACTGCTTCTAAACCCCTGGGAAAGAACAGCTTAACTGTTTTCATGAAGATTCTCCGTGGCTCAGACAGACTTCCCCTTAACACTGAACATCCCTGCTGGGAAACTATTGTATAGCCAGTCCCGTGAGCCTGTTTTTCTTACAGAGAGACAAGCTTGGATGGGTAAACTGGCCAGTTCACTTGGTTTTGATACTGGTGTCTTTGATAATTAGCACACACAGTGTTGCTTCCACACAGACAAAGCAGCCATACCATCAAGAGTTTGTCAGTTGGAGTCTAGCAGTTCAGGGCTGAAGGGTCCAGCTCTGCCTGAATTTGAGCACCGGTTAACCTCATGGGCTCCTGTTTCTAAAATTGTAAAATGGACCTATAATCATTTCTCCATTTGTTCCAAGGATTCAATAAGAAATTCATAATGCCTTTTCTGTCAAATTGTGAAAATAACGTAGGTATCCATATCTAGGAAAAATACTAATGTGCCAAGAACCTCTGAAAAGTGTTTTAGTATGTCACATACTTATTTTTTTCTATAGAGCAAAAACTCAGACTTTAATTTAAGAATTAAGATTTCCAGCCAGGTGTGATGATGCACACCTGTAATCCCAGCACTCGGGAGGCAGAGGCAGGTGGATCTCTCTGAGTCTGAGGCCAGCCTGGTCTACAGAGTGAGTCCAGGAAACCCTGTCTTGAACACCCCCTCCCCGCAAAAAAAAAAAAAAAAAAAAAAATTAAAATGTAAAAGTTTTGTTTTCATTATGCGTCTGTGTGGAGGAAATTTGCACGTGTGAATGCAGGTGCAAACTGTGGATGGAGGCTTCGAGTCTCCGTGGAGCTGGAGTTGTAGTTGTGGTGAGCCACCTGCGTGGGGCTGGGAACTAAATTCAGGTCCTCCGGGTGTTCTGGCCAAACAGAATGAGAGCATCACTGCTACTGAGCCAGCCCCTATTGTCAGTTAATTTCTGATTTTGAATTTTATTTTTGATTTGAAATTGGATATATGTACATACAGGCATATGTTTGCCAAAATGGGCATGTGGAGATCGGAGAACTTTTGGTCGTCAGTTCTTTCCTTCCAACAAGGATTCTGGGGATTAACTCAGATCATCAATCTTGCTTTTTACCAAATGAGCAATATTGCCTTTCTCCCTCCCTCCCTCCCTTCCTTCCTTCCTTCCCTCTATCTATCCATCCATATGTATGCATGTATGTATGTATGTATGTATGTATGTATGTATGTATGTATCTATCTATCTATCTATCTATCTATCTATCTATCTATCTATCTACCTATCTATCTATCTTACTGCACTATCTGTTCTCAAGACAGGGTCTTGCTATGTAACCATAGGTCAGCCTGCATTTTACCATCCTCCTGCCTCAGTGTCCTTCTCCCACACTGGGATTATAGGGGAGCCATTGAACTCAGTTTAATAACATGTAAATTAAACTTGTTTAGATTAAAGAAACAGTTAAAATGAAAATCAATCAATGTTTTGCAGGTTATGAAGAAAATGACATCCACATAACCTCGTTGCAACAGATAAAAACCGTGACAGAACAGGTGGCACAGGGTGATGAGAATACCCCATCTGCCCAGGCAGCCAAGCCCACTGCAGTGTCCCAACCCTGGCACCACGTGGCGATGATGGCAGGGCCCCAGGAGCCCTCCTTTCACTCTGGAATCCTGAGGACGATGTCTCACAGAGATGTCCGGGCAAATCTGCTCCTACAAAGCTTCCTCACGTGGTCGGACACTATCGAGATGCTGCGTGTGGCTGGGCACCCCGCCGTGTACAAGACAGGCTGGCTGTACCCTGTCTACATATTCAGTTTCATATCTCTTCTGCGAATGGTCTTCACGCCTAAGAACCCTCTTCTCAGTTCCCTGGGGGTCCTATTGCAGGATTTACCTTTTATTTTTCTTAGACTCAGTTTAATCATTGCCCTGGGGACCATCACGCCAGTCCTGGGCCTTTGCAAAAATGTCCTAGTGACTGTCTCATATATTTACTTCAATTATGTAACCAAACTCAGGCCTTTCTCTGCCTTTGAAACCTCTCCATTTTAAATGGCAGATGCTAGGATAGTAAGTTCTCCTGACTATGCATATATACACATTTGAAAAGTTTTTCTAGCAATAAGCTTTTACGCTATGCAGAATTAGCCATTTCCAAACTGTACCATAGGTTTTGGTTGTTTGTTTTTATATGTATAAATGGTGCCACACTTAAACAAAGTTATATTCTTTCAAGTTGGCTCTTCCAGACTTCCGGAAAGCTTAGTCATTGATTTTAGCAATGCATATTCCACTTTTTGATAAAAATCACTCCATAAGAAAGCCTTTTAAAATGATTGGAGCCGAGAACTAGCTCAAGAATGACTTGTTTTCTTTTAATCATGTGTGCACTGAAGAACATTGTGTGGCTTAATTAGTCAAAATTAGTTTTAGAAAATAACCAGAAGTTATTGAATATATTTTAGAGTTTGCTTGAAAATCTGAAAACTGTGGTTTTAGGGTCTCTTTCAAAACTTAAACTTCTATTTTCTGTGTGTATGTGTTTGGTTTTGTTTTCAGCAATGAGGATTGAACCAGTGCCCTGGACACACCATCTTAGTAGCAACTCACTACTGCCTATGAGCCACATGAAAATATGTTTCTTGCCCCACTGTGGTGACCTCTGTTCAGTTCACTGTGTGAAAAAACGAGGGACTTCAGCAGACGCCAGCTCAGCTAAGCTTCACTAAGTCTTAGGCTGGTTCAGTGGGCAGTACTTCAGCTGTGTGGGTGATAGTTTTTCAAATGCTACTTTATTTGAGTGTTCCTTAAAGCTTCTACCTCCCTTCCAGTCCCCCAACCCCAGGCAGGTGGAAAAGAAGGTTGTAAGGGAAAGGGGATGTAGCCTTCTTTACTTCTTCCTGCTGGGTAGGGTTGTAGGATTCTTTTAGGGGCAATACCAATGTCCATTGTCAGGAAGTCTAGAAGTCCAGGTAAACTAAACCAGCAAACCAACAAGGGCAGCAGACAGTCCTCCTTCTTCCCTTCTCCCCTCCAAGCAACCACACTTTTTTCCTCTGGGTTATCGTATTTATACCCCTCGAAGTCCACATAATTCAACTAATTACATCTGGAAAAGACCACACTCTGCACAAAATAATTAACAGGTGTGGACAAACTAACCCCCCCACTTGAGATTATAACAAAAACTTGCTTACATATCATAAGCCAACAGGGTTGAGTGTAATGAAACCAAGGTACATTGCGAGTCCTAGATAAAGTTTTATAATGGAGACCATAAACCGAAGATAAAGTAGAAGAGCATAACATTTATGGAATTTGATACCATTATTTAAAAAAAAAAAAGCAAAAGCCATATTTAAAAGGAGGGTTTGAACTTGGCGAAATGCCAAGGTGCACTAGGTCAGGAATATCTTCATGTTTCCATAACCACACACACAGCCATGAGCTCTGCAGGTGCCATGGCGGCACAGATACTCATATCCGCAGCACAGGTTCTCTGTGAGAGCTTTGTAAGAAGCTTATCTGTGCAGAGTAATGAGTCACTTCAATATCTCCTCCCTGATCCATGGAAACAGATAGCTTATGAATAGATGAATAAGTCTGAGTGTTTCTGGCCTCTGCACTGAGGCCCCAGGCTCCAATTCCAATGTCTTACAGTTCTTACACTGCTGAGAAGGTCTACTCTTAATTGTTAAGCTTTGCTTGCCAAAAGCTTAACAATTTGTGATTTGGAGCTGGTTCCTTGAATGTTGTGGCCCCCACTGCTACATGTAAAAAATGCACACAATATAAACACTCCTTTAATAGTGTTGGGGTATTGTAGGATTTGGAGTGCTCCCAGTAAAGTGTCTGGCAAATAATAACAGCTTATAAATGCTAAGCATTTAATGATACCACCCCACATCCCTGCCCACTCTCTGGGAATGATGATTTGTACCTGACATTTGTGGAATGTAACATGTAAGATCTTAAGTATAATCCCTGACTGCAAGTTTTTATCAGTTATTCTAGTGATCAGTAGTGAATGATATGATATGTTAAATATTTAGACGAAAGAGAATGTGGGAAGTCATTCTTCCATTTGAATAGAACTTCTGTGAATTTTCAGGTAACTCAGACTATAGCACTTTTTTTTTTTTTTTGAGGCAAGATCTCACTATGTTTTGAATTCACTATGTAGCTCAAACTTATCTTGAATGGACCATCCTCCTGCCTCCACCTCCCTGCTGGGATGCAGTTATGTGCCAGCCACCCAGGGTCTTCTGGTTTTGCATTGCTGAGGATTAGACACAGGCTCACCAACTCACCAGAGCCACGTATGCCATCTGTCACTCAGCCACACCCCCAGCCTGCACTTTTTGTTTTTGAAAGCTTGTCATTAGATATTTACTTTTCTTGGCTTCCCGTTAACTTGTTAGCTGTGCCTCTGTCTCCAACCCGTCACTCCAGGTAGGCGCTCACGGTGTTCATGACATAAAATACATACCGCGTATCTTTTAAAATTCAGAGGTGCCTATAACCAAGCGGCTAATTTACAGTAGCCAGAAATGCACTACTCGTTTACATAAAATGTATATATCTTTATTTTTAAATTTAGGGTGAATGGCACTCAGTAAATTCTAAAGTATTAGCTGAGCTTAGCTTGTGTTTTGCACCTGAAACATGAACATGCCTGATATTTGAGGATGTTAGCAATACTTTATACAGATAATGAAGGCATGTGTAACAAACAGGTCATGTCGACAGGAAAAGCTTTGAGTCTCTAGCCTGACTGGGAGTACACAGATGTTTATAAAGCTCAAGCCTGTGATATTTAAGCGGTATTACAAGAAATGATGCTGCTGTGGTATTGATCTACATTATGTGATTAAACCTATATTGATAAAATTGTACTGTACTTCTCATAGCTTTTTATAGCTATTGGTAGGAAGGATTTGTGTCCTAATAAAAAGCTTAATTTCTGCTGTAAAGTGTGCATGCAAAAACTGGCCAGATCTGTGATTGACTATGTGGTATTTAACTCCAAATAAAATCTGGAGCTGCGTGAGAATTATGTCTTCGTTCACATCAACCACATATAAGGTTAATTGCTGAGACACATAAAAATATGATTGGACTAGCACCATCTAACCATTTAAAAAACTGATAGTCTTTTTTGGTGCCTTTTCTCTCTGCAAGTTAAAGTTGTGCTGGTGTCACAGCTTGAGGTACCAGGTAGCACCCCCTCTTCACTGAGTGGCCATTGCTCTAAGGCACAAGAACGGAGAGAGAAGAGGCAGCAGCTTGCTTTGCCAGCTGTGTGCCCGACGTGGACTCCTTAGCCTTTTCAACCAAATAAACATTAAAAGCATGTTGAACTGGATTTCACAAAAACAAGATACGGCTCTTAGAGCTTATGGTGTCTAAATCCTACAGGAAACAATAAATAATAAGAAGAAAACATATGTGTAATATACAGAATAAAAGGGCTTTTTTAACCTTTTTTAATCTTTAAATTTTACTCATTTATTTATAGACAGGGTTTTATGGTGTAGCCTGCCCAGACTGTTCTCAAATCACAAGTGATCCTTCTGCCGCTGTCTCCTGAGTGCTAAGATGGCTACAGGTGTGTGCCATGCCATTGTTTTTACCTTTTACTGAAAATCCTGTGACTGAGCAGCTCTTTTGTTGTGAGGTTTGACTCATATGGGAGGCTGTGTTTACTCATCCTTTAGCTTCCTGCCAGTCTGCCTCTTTTCCCTCGTCCAGCTCCGTGGTCACATGATCCAAACACGGAGACAGCACAGTGAGGGTGTGAAGCGACAAAGACGCAAGGGCATGTATGTACAGGTGAGCACACAGGATCAAATCCAGCTACCCTCTAAAAATGTCCCATGGGCCTGCAAAGGCCTCAGCTCGTGAACAATAATTCTAGGAACGTTATAGACCCATAAAAGTTGGCTGTTTAAAATAGCTCATGAGTATGTTACCATGTACATCCTTAAATTTTTAATTTTTGTTGTTTACGTATTTGTCGTATTCACACAGAATGGCGTGGCATATGTGTGAAGCTCAGAGGACAGCTTTTAGGAGTCGCCTCTCTCCTTCCTGTGGCTCGTGGGAATCAAACTCAGCTCGGTGACTTAGAGAGCTTAGCACTCTCACCCCGTGAGCCGTTTCCCTAGCCCCGTTACCAATTTCCTCTGAACAGGATTCTTCACTTTAGATTTATTTTACTTTTAATTGTGTGTGTGTGTGTGTGTGAACATGCATGTGTGTGCTTACACGTGTGTGAGGGGCCCAGAAGAGGGTGCTAAGACACCCAGCTGTGGAGTTACAGGTGCCTGTAAGCCACCACCTGACATGAGCACCAGGAACTGAGCACAGGTCTCTGCAAGAGCGGAGTGTGCACTGTTCACTGCCGACCCACCTCTTCAGCCTCAGTTCTGAAGATACGTACTCAGATAAAACATTCTGAATATTTTACTAGCTCACTCATGCAGCTAGTCTGAGACTCTGTCACAGAGCAGATTGTAGTTTTGGTGAACAAATAATGCACAACAATTTGGAAAACTACCTTAGAGAGTAGTTTAGTTGATGTTGCAAGTTAATTCAACGTAAACTCAGGGACAGTGTTCATTACAGTAATATGTATACGAAGTTGGCATTTATACGTACACAAGTTTTCATTTCCTAAGTTGTGCGTTTATAAAAGTTTATAATTTTCTTTATATTGAGTTTGTAATGTTAATAGATGTTTTTCAGGAATGGCTTCTCTTTCTACAAAACCATTTATTTATTTGAGATATGGTCTCATTATGTAGCCCATGAACCTACTGCCTGAGTCTCCCCTGTGCTGGGTATTTCTGGCTTAGATTACAGCCATAGCTGGCTTCTTTTTTTATTTTTCTTTTTGGTTTTTCGAGACGGGGGTTCTCTGTGTGGCAATGCTGTCCTGGAACTTGCTCTATAGACTAGGCTGGCCTCAAACAGAGATCCTCTGCCTCCCGAGTGCTGGTATTAAAGGCCACCATTATCTGTCTGCCTTCTTTTCCTTACAAATTCATTCTAGATGCTATAAAGGATCTATATTCCGGAGAATGTGAATGAAGAAAATCTATATCCAAATTGCCACAAATTACAGATAGCATTAAAAATATGCTCACTGTCTTAGTAACAACACAGTATTTTTTGTCTTAACATCCATGTCTAAAAAGCACATCATTTTCAGGTAAATATATAAATGTATTCTGTAGCTTATCCTTAATCTTCTACATATATTTAATAGTAAAATAGTGTTCTAATTACATTACTTTGTACAGTTGAATGTGTATCATGTTCCGGAGGCAAAAAGATCTAATTTAAGATTGGGTAGTACCATTTCATGGGGTGGGGTCTCAGGCTACCTAGATAACACTGAGCTCTAGTGTCCACCTCATCCTGCTTCCCAATGGCAGATGTAAGATGACCAGGTACTTCATGCTCCTGCCACCGTAACATCACCATGCCAGAGCGCAACTTCAAACTGTGAACCAAAATTAGTTCTTCTTCCTTAAGCTGCTTTGTCAGGCATTTCGTCACAAGGGTGAGAACAGTAACTGAGAAAATCACTGACCACCCTGAGCAGCTGCCGAGGAGAGCAGCAACCAGGACAAGCACCTGCCACTCCAGGCAGTTGAAACCCACTGACACAGAGGCAGTTCCAGGGCTGTGTCTCTGTGTCTGAAAGTTCAGGTGGCCACCAGAGCCTTTATTTTTAACATGAAGCTATGTGCATCTTTTTAGGCATGATTCTCTTACAAGCTTAATGGTATGTGCATACTAAGGCATTACCCTGGTGTACAGGAAAGCTTTATGACTGCTTTATTTCAGCAGTTGCCTTGCTGTGAAGGTCTGGGAATGAATCATTCTGGTCAAGACATAGATGAATCAGGTTACCAAAGAATTTGTTGTGCTAATTTTCTGGGAACCATTTCATAAAGAAGCAAACACCAACTTCATTTTATGTGGAATCCAGTGGTGTGAGGCAGTTGGTGATTGAGAAGGCCTGGGAGGATATGAAAAAGGTCAGCAATTATCTTGCCAGTTACACATTAGGATTTCCTTTACTTTTAGCTTGACAAAGGTCTAGGCAAACAGCCACATCATTAGCCACAACAAAAATCATCAAATAGTTCAGAATTACAAAGAGTATGTGGAAGGTTGGAGTCTTTAAAAAATTCGCTAAAATGCACAGAACATAAATTTCCTACAGTTACCACTTTAAAGCACACAAAGGAGAGGGGTTGAGTTTACCTTTAGTGTTGACAGCCTTTTCCACAACTGCCCATCCTCCCAAACTGTGCCTGAAAACCCCAAACTAACTGTTTGCTTCCACTGCCAGCCTTTTTACTGCTTAGTAAACTCCCCTCCTTCAGTCCCCATTATCTTCCTATACTATATGTCACAAATAATTGGATTTTTGCAATATTTGTCCTGTGGTGTCTGAGTTATTCCATTTTAACGGAATGTCTAAAGATTGTTCGTACTGTGGCAGGTATCAGAATTCCTTTCTGTGGCTGTATAATTTCCCATGGTATATGCCTAATACATTTCATTTATGTGTTACTTCTCCTGGTGGACACTTCTGTCGTTTGGCTTTTGTAAATCATATTGCTATTAATGTCATAGATACCTGTTTTCAGCTCATTTATAGGAATGACAGAAGTAGAATCGCCATACCACATGATGTTCTGTATTTCGCCTATTGAACAACTGCCAAGCTGTTTTCCATATGGACTACTCCATTTAACTCTGTTATTGATCAAGGGTCTAAATTTCTCTGCGCGCTCACTCTCACTTATTTCTTATTTTATAAGAACCATCTTTTTCGATAAGAGAGGTATCTGTACTTTGATTTGCATTTTTGTTATGGGCTGTTGAGGTTGAGCTTCTTTACATATGCTTCATGGCCACTCACAGATTTTCTCTGGAGAAATATTAGCCCAGGCCTAGTGTTCATTCTTGACTGTCTGTGGTTCTGTGATTCTTGAGTAGATTTTTATATTCTGAATATTAATTGTTATCAAATGAATGCTTTGGTAATATTTTCTATTAATTTATGGTCTCTTTCCTCATTATCCCCTCCTCTATTTTTCTCATTTTTCTTCTTCTCCACACCTCCCTCCCCCTTACTTCCAACCCTGTACCCTTTTTTTTTTTAATTTTGAGTCAGTGTCTCACTATGTAGCATCAGCTGGCCTTAAACTTGTCACCTTTCTGTATCTTCTTTCCAAGTGCTAGGATTATAGGCATGTCATCATTACAAGCATCCTGCCCAACTCACTCATCTGTCATGTCCTTTGACATGAAAGTTTTTAATTTTGAAAAAGTTTAATTTTCTATTCTTTTTCTTGATGTCAGAGCCAATATGTCATTATCAAATCCAATGTTATGAAGACTTTACCTGATTCTTCCCTCAGAGGGTTCCACAGCTTTAGCACATAGGTGCAGGTCTTTGATTCATGTGGCATTTTCTGGGTGAGAGTGAAGCCAACTGTCATTCTACTTGGAGGTATCTAGTTTCTCTCGCATTTCCTGTTGCTCCCTCATTAAATGGTCTTGGCATCTTGTCAAAAGTTGACTGGCCACACATGTTGGAATTGTCATCTAGGCTCTGTGCTGTGTTCCACTGGCTTATAAATTCATCTCAGGTCAGTATCTCACTGTTAATATTATTGAATTATGGCTTTGTAGTAAAATTTGAAATTAGAAAGTATGAGTCCTCTAATTTCTTTCAAAATTGTTCTGGCTCTGGGAAATCCCTTGAGATTCCATGTATATTTTCAGATTTGGTTTCCTACATATGAAGTAAAACACTATTAGGATTTTGGTAAGGATTCTCTGCATCTGTCTATTTCTTCAAATAATATCATCCTCTTCACAGTAGTTACTCTTTTATTCCCTGAACTTGGGCACTCTTTCTGCCTACTTAATTCTTCAGTTTTTTTCAGCTATGTTTTATAATTTTCAGGACATACAATTTTTGAGGCTAAAATTTTAAATTAATTAATTAATTTTACATCTGACCACAGTTTGCCCTTCCTCCTCTCCTTCCATCCTGCCCTGCATTCACTCCTCCTCTGTTTCTTTTTAGAAAAGTGCAGGCCTCCTATGGACATCAACCAGCCATGGCATATCAAGTTGCAGTAAGACTAGGCAGCTCCTCTCCTATTAAGTCTAGACAAGGCAGCCCAGTAGGAGGAAAGGGCCCCAAAGGTAGGCAACACACTCAGGGACAGTCCCTACTCCCACTGTTAAGAGTCCCACAAGAAGACCAAGCTTCACAACTGTAATATAGTGCAGAGGGCCTACGTCAGTCCCATGCATACTCTCTGGTTGTCAATTCAATCTCTGTGAGCCACTGTGGGGCCAGTTAGTTGATACTAAGGGTTTTCTTCTGTTATCCTTCTTCCCCATCTTCTGCAGGATTCCCTAAGTTCCACCTAATGTTTGGCTGTGTGTCTCTGCACCTGTTTCTATCAGTTGCTGAGTTAAGCCTTTTCTGATGAAAATTGGGATAGGCACCAATCTATGAATATAGCAGTATATCTTTAGGACTCAAATTTCATCTACTTTTTTGTTTGCTTGTTTGTTTGCCAGTTGTGTTTGGTTCTATCCTAGGTCTCTGGGCTATCCAGCCTCTGGTTCTTGACCCTTCAGACAGTGTCACAGGTGGACTCCCTCTTATGGCATGGTCTCAAGCTGAATTGGTCGTTGGTTGGCCACTTACACAATTTCAGTGCCACCTTTGCCCCAGCACGTCTTGTAGGCAGGACAAATTGTAGGTCAAAGGTTTTGTGGCTGGGTTGGTGTCCCCATCTCTCCACTGCGAGTCTTGCCTGGTTACAGGAAATAGCAGGTTCAGGCTCTGCATCCCCCTTCGCTAGGAGATGGAGTAGAAGTTTTGGTTTCTTTAAGAACTCAGTTATATTATATAACAGTTATATAACTGTTTTTGTCTTAATCCCAAGTGTGGGCTATGGGGCTGCTTTTAGTTTGTCAATAGCCGTTTTAACTGTGATTGCCTCGTCCAGTCTTGGAGAGGGGTGTGATGATCTTTGTCAGCTGCAGACAGTTTAATTCTGAGGACTCCGAGAGGGTATAAATGCCAGATCCCAGCGAGGGATAGAGGCTCTTGAAGGAAGAAGGAGGCTGCAGGCTCATTCCTCTGCTGTGTTTGCTGTTTGCTGGGTTGCTGGATATACTGACTATGAAGATTGGATTTGCACCAAGGAACTAAGTCCCTTTTCCCCTGTAACCTTCTTGCTCTCCTACCTAGAGTTGGGGTTAGAAGGGAAGTAGAAGTATAAGAAACCCCAATAAAGTAGATAAAAGTTTCCTTACAAGGAGTCTTGGCTAGGGTCACCCTTGTAGATTCTTGGGTGTTGCCATTGCAGTAGGTTTCTAGCTCATTCCAGAGATGCCCTGCCCCCGTTTCAGTTGCCTCTCTCAATAATCCCTCCCTCCGTCCTTCCCTCACCCTGTTTCTATCCCCATCCTCCACCCATTCCCCTCCCCCCACCCACCCAAGTTTCTATTTCCCCTTCACAATGGGATTCATATATTTCCCCTTTGAGCCCTCCTTGTTACTTAGTTTCTTTGAGGTTAAGTTTACTCCTGAGTATTTTATTTTTTTTATATGTTGTCTAAGTTACTTTTCTATGGCTGTGCTAAGATAACATGAGCAATTTAACTATAGTTTTAGAGGGTGGGTCTGTGAGAGTAATAGCAGAGAGCATGGTAGTAGGCAGGCAGGCAGGCATGGCACTGGAACAGTAGCTGAGTACATTTGATCCACAAGCATGAGGCAGAGAGCAAGTTAACTGGGAATGGCACAGGCTTTTGAATTGTTTCCTTGATTTTCCTTTTCAGTTGTTCATTACAAGAATATGAACATGCAATTAATATCTGTATGTTTCTTGCAACATTGTTGAGCTCATTAGCTACATTTGACTTTTCTGGATGTTCTACAACTTTCTACATACAAAGTCATGCCATCTACAAACAGAGAAAAATTCCCTTTTTACTCTCCAACATCTATTTTAAGGTAGAACAGAATTGCTATAGTAATTACAAAGCACCATCCACCCCTCAGACCTCACAGACTGTATTTAGAGGATAAGGTCCATATCCACACTCATTCTAGGGATATTGATTTTGCTCTTATAGCTGCCTTCAGATGCATGATGAGGAATGACAGGTGAGGGATAGAGGACAGAAGCCTTCAGTGAGAAGAGTTGAAATACAATGATATTTGCCAACTTCTTAACTAAGTTCTTACTTGGATGCCTCAAGTTTTTGAAGAGATACCAGAAGTGCAAAAGTGCTATTTTGAACAGTTCCTGGCAATACCAAGATTGTTTTAAAGACTGACCCATGGAAATTCCTACTCCACCATCACCTAAAACCATGGATTTGTGTTGACTTGTTCACTTCTTCTAACCTGATAAATAAGATAAAGATTATGGAGCCAAATCCTTTGTGAGGCAGTGAGCTTCACTTTATTTCAAATCCATGAGTCTTGTTACTGATTCTGATTTTTATTCATAAAAATACATGCATAACACACACATAATAAAACCATGACTTAACGGATGTCTATAATTCAGTTAAATTTTATTTTCCTCCAAAATCAACATAAATCTAAATTAGGGTTTATGTTTGGATAGTTACACAATTTAATGAAAACATTTTGGGAGAGGAGTAGGTATGATTAGGAACACCTATAATCTTAGCACTCAGGAAGCTGAAATAAGGGTATCAAGGATGCAAGGCCAGCCTGAACTACAAACAAGACTGTGTTTCAATGTTCTTCTGATAAGTCAGTCAAGCAATGTTCTGAAGTGAAACATTTGTGTCTCACCATTTTGGGAAGAATTTTGTTTGTAAGTTAAGCCTTGGTAGAACGAAAAAGAGTGATGGGGCCCTTCTCCTCTATCTTTTTTCAGAATCCTAAATTTGGGCTTTTAAAAAGAAAATCACTAAGAGACATAAGATTTTTCACTTGAAGACAGCCTGTTTGTTTAAAATTTCTATCTCTGGTGTTTCCAGAAGCTACTTTTTGAGACATTTACATTGCTCCAGTTTCAGGACTTCTCTGGATATCTAAACACCAGTATACATTTCATACTATTCCTAATTCTTGTTGTACTCCTGGAAAAAACAATCAGTGTTTTCATGAATGATCCTATAACATTATTTTAAAACTGAATCCCACTTCCATTAAACCAGGTTTTCTTTTGCAATTAAGAAGTCGTCCCCTTTCCAAACTCAAAGAGGACGATGATGGTTGAGGCCGGGCAGCAAGCCAATTGCAAAGGTTTTGCCACTGTTTCCTTTGGCTGTCTAGAGACAGACTTCTAGAACCTTCTCCCTCTGGCTTTCTGAGATCCTGCCTTAGGATTAATTTTCCTTCTAGAGACAGGAGCAAAGCTCCATGTGAACCATTCCTTTGATTCTTTCCAAGGTGTGTGTGTGGGGGTTGGATAGGCATGGGCTCTAAACCTGAACACAGAGATTAGGTGGAAGTCAGTTTTATACCTTCAGGAAATGCTTCTCTCCTTTAGTGAATGTCTGCCCTTTCTTTAGAATTGAGGCTCCATGCTCTGAGTGCCTCCACAGCTGTCCCCTGGAGACTCACTTTGCCTCACCCAGATAATGCCCTCCTCTGCAGTCCCTGCCCAGCACCTGTGGAGTACACCATGGGCTCATCTGGGTTGCTGCTCTCTCCAACAGATGAAGCCCAGCCCAGCTCCTCACTTCTCCCCACTTCCTCTGCTCACTCCTCTCCTACACATGTTCCTCTCTCCCCTTCCCCCTGTGCCTTAGCTTACGAAGCAAAGTTGTAACTTTGAATTCCTGTTTTTCTAACCGCCCCCATGTGACAGGATATCTCTCAATTGGAGGGTTTTCCTAAATTCAGGAGTCCTTTAAAACGGACAGCTTCCTTTGCCCTAGTTTTCAGTTGGGCAGCTCCCGAACCCTGGACTAGGCAGAGGGGCAACCTTGGGGCCCGGACTGTATTCGTTCTCTTCTCCTCTTCCCTTCTCTCCATAAGGAGAAGGGCAGGGTACACTGTGGGCCATGAGGCTTCCCCTACTCCTGGCTTTTATCTCTGTCATCCCGGCCGCTGTTCAGCTTTTGGGTAAGTCGGTTTTGAGGTGGGGACGATGCACACTATTTTGTTTGGAGTTTATGCTGAGTCCTATGCACATCTGGAAGAGGAGTAAGCATACTGTCCTTGCAGCACGTGTCTTTTTACCTGACCCCCATCTGACCTGCATCTGGCCTTGGCCTGGCAGCCAGCATGGGAGTCAGGCGATGCTGCTTGGCCTCCAGTGTTGGGTGTTGCCCACGCCGAAGCCCCCGGAACCTCTCTCCTCCTGAGGACATCTCCGGGTCTGGTTATTCCTACCTGGTTTGTGCAATGGCTTCTTGTTTTGTGGTTTGCTGTGCTTCTAGTTTTCATCTTATGTCATCGCCGTCCTACTACCTACAAAGAACCTCTGAGTATCTCTGGTGGGAAAAGAAGTTACTGCCCCTCAACCTAGATGCAAAGGATCAGGAGGGGAACTGCCCTTGAGGAGGGACTTTGTGATTCTCACTCCCCTTTTTTCTGTGAAGCTTTTCATTCATAATTCTTACTGGGAGAAAGTCCATGCTCTTCTGTATTCAAAATGATTCAGACTCTCAGAAGTGGATGTGTTTGATATTAAAGTCTGAGGGTGGTTGATGTGTCTGTAGGAACCAGTCAGGGCTCCTTAGACGTTCAAAGACATTGCTGGACTCTTAAGCACCAGAATGAGAGAGCTTGGGAGAATTTTCACCCCCAGGTCTATTTTGAAATGTATTTTGGCTTCTTATCACCCTTCATTTCCCTCAGACAATTAATGCATACTGGGCACAGTTTGTACCCTTCGTCTTAGCCCCTGTCCTGCTGTGACACGGATGCTGAAAGTTCTCTAGGGAGCTGTTGCAAAGTTTTTCTCATTTTTCTTAGGAATGCTTCTCTCTTTGAGATAGTGAGATGCCTCTCTAATGCCTTTCTCCTTGTGGGCACAGATACAGGGACACAGTGTGAGATGTTGGGGTCTCTTTGAGCACAGATACCAGAACACAGTGTGAGGTCTTGCAGGTCTCTGGGCACAGAAGCAGTAGGCTCAGATACTGGGACATGAAGTGTGAGATCCTTCAGATATCTGTAGAAAATGAAAAGCAAACAAAAAGTAGGCACATGAAAGTCCCTGCCAGAGTCAGATATTTTTTGTGTTACTCAAGATCCTTTGATTTTCAGCACCTCTCTGGGGGATATTAGGCATGTGCTTCACTGTAGAAGCACACCCCAGCCTCTTTTTTACTATTTATTTAAATTAAAAAGGTTTTATTACGTTTATTGCATCTCAGTACGAGTGTGCCGTTGAATTTGTGTGCAGGTTAGAAGACATCCCACTACATGGGTTCCAAGGATCAAAACAGTTGTTAGTCCTGGCAGCAAGCTCCTTTACATGTTGAGCATTTCCACCCTGAGAGTCTGCTGTGCTTACTCTAAACTTCTGTTGGTCCCAAGGGTAAAGTCAGAACGCTTGTTTAGTCAGCAGTTGGTTAAAGGACACCCGAGTTCTCAGGACCCCTTTTCTAGTTTCCCGTCAGCTCACAACAGGAAGGTCCCTTGCTTCCTGAGAACCCACACCTTTTCTTCACCATCAAGGGAGCGTTCCACCTCAACATCGCTTTATGCATGTGTGTGCTGTTACCATGGATGCGTTAGCTCTGCCTGGAGAGTCTAGGGAGCTTAATTAGAGGGCCCTCCTTATCCTCCTTGCTCTCCTGACCGCTTGCTATCTCTCAAGCATTATTGCCAGTGTTGAAGCATCAGTATGTAAGAGGGAGTTATAACCAATGAGCTCTCTTGGACACTGAACTTGGAGTAAGCAGTTTGGTGGGTTTGGCTCATGAGCAATTGTGTGCTAGTAGACTGAACAACTTGTTCGCAGGAAAAAGCAAAACAGAAAACAGAAGCTGATCCACAGCATTTGCTGAGTTTTTCCCCCATGGTGTAAATATTCCCATCATGGTTCACTTCCAGCAACCATCCTGAGGCCATGTAAGCAGAACTGGGATAAGAAGCAAGCAACAGACTCTAGCTAGCTGGTGCCACAAGGCAGCAGGACACCTTCCTAGATCTCAGGACACAGTGAAGCAGGGTGTCACATGATGGGAAGCCCAAGCTACCAAAATGAGGGGAAGTCATGGTGTAAGAGAAAAGCCTCAGGATCACGAGTCATTAGCACAAGTGCCGCTTTAGAAATGATACATTCCAATGATGGCAATAGACGCGGGCAGCCAAATGCCTGGAAGGCCAGTGTTCGGCAGGTGGAAGCCAAGTCAGGAGGCTGCCCACTTTTAACTCTTGCTCTTCCAGCCCCTCTTTGGTTGCTTGCCATAATATAAAAGCCATGTTGATTGACTTAGATCATCCTGTTGTAGCATGTGGGGAGCTCAGTGCAGCTAAGTTGTGATTCTGGTGCAGACATCACGCTTGAGTGTTCGCCCTGATGTGTGGCCTATTTCAGTTTCTTCATCCAGCGCTCCGAAGAGAATTATTACAATTGCCTTGTTATATTGTAGTGCCCATTCTCACAGTCACTCTTGGCAAACTTTCATTTCCCTTAAATACATATCTTACAATATGGATGCTCAAATTTATTTACTTGAACTCAACTCAGTGAAAAGAAAACCAGGCTGGAGAGATGGCTCAGCAGTTAAGAGTACTGGCCGTTGTTCCAGAGGACCCAGGTTCAATTTCCAGCACCCATGTGACAGCTCACAACTGTCTGTAACTCCAGTTCCAAGAGAGCCAACTTCCTCACACAGACAGGAAAAATAGTCATGCAGGAAAAAGAAAACCAGCATCATTCTTCATGTTTCTATTTGCTTGTTACTATACTTCTTTCCACAGATTTCTTAGACTTCCTGTTGGAAATCCTGATTTCCTGTAACCCTGGGAACAGACACCTAATTTTTAGTTAAACATAAGTTTTATTACATTTTAATGAATGTAGTATGTCTATGTGGGTGCCTGGTATTGCATTTTATGGCATTCATGTAAAAGTCAAAAGATAAGTTTTAGGATTTAGTTCATTCCTTCCACCCTTTGGGGTCCCCGGGATTAAACTCAGGACTTCAGACTTGGAAGCTTATGCATTATCCCACTGAATTATCAGGTCAACCCCTCAAGTTTAAATTTAATCTATGTGTTACATATAAAATATGCACACACACGGGCGCAACTAATGTAGCCAACATGAGGACCTGGAGGTCATAGTTTCATTCAGAGCCGAGAGTAGAGTGACGGCGTGCTTTACCACGTGGAAAACAATTAGGCTTTGATGAGTAAGTGGGTCTCAGAAGGCAATGAGCCTGCGACATCCAGCTCCTGAGTATGGCTTTCTGGCGTTGAGGCTGAGAGGTGACATCATTTATTAGCTTGCCTGGTCTGATCAGAAAGGAATGTGGGATTCAAAATAACAGTACATTAAAAGGTAAACTTAGATATTTGGATTTTCATCATTTTTCTTTCTTCTCAAGAGAGGAGAGGGAAGGAATCAGCGTTTCTTTATGAAGTGTTTCCTGTAGGAAAATAATATGCTTGGTGCTTTACCTACAACACATCAATTGAGAGTTTCCCAGTGACTGTCAAGGAATATTATCCCCACTTTAAAGATGGAGATACTGAGGTTGAAAGGATGAGTTTAAGGCAACACAGGAAGTCACAGACCCTCACAACATCCCTTGTGTACCATATGACCTCCTCAAAGCTTCTCCATCGTCTCTGCTGTTCTGCTGTCCCTCTGCCTGGCTGCTTCATCAGCTCTTTTTTTTGTGTCCAGTTTCATCCTGTTCTGAGCTATCTCACAACCCCATCCAAGCCTATTTTCTTCTGATAAGAATAGCAAATGTTTACGGAGTCATTTCTGCATCAGTCACTGTTGTAGGCACTTTAGATGGTCACATTTCATTCTTACAGACATCGTAGGTCCTATGGTTCATTGTTGATTTATAGATTGAAAGCACAGAAAACTAAGAAACTTAGCACAGCCACATCCAGTGAGCCAGGGACTCTCACTATCTGCTGCTAATGCTCTGGTTATGTGCTGGTTGATGAATCTACAGGATGAATCTGTTAGCATGAGGGTATGTAGGAGAAAACAGTATGTAGAATAGCTTTCTTACCTGGAGGCCTTTGTCCTCCCCAGACTGGGGAGGAGGCTGCTGCTGGGAAGTGGGTGGCTTAGAAGACAGGAGAGGCAAAGCATGAAGGGAAAACTTCAGGACACAGGGGGAAGATCTTGGATAGCAGAGCAGTGGAGGAGGCTCCTTCCTCCAAGATGGGAGTGACAAGGAAGTTGTAGAACACATACTTTTAGGGAAATGAAGGGTATATTGAAGAATTTCATGCCTCTTTTTTTTTTCTTTTGAGCTTAGAACCCATTTTGGTGCCGTTATTTATGCATCCCCAAGTGACCACATGGAGTGACATAAATTGTTAACTTTTCTGACTTTCCAATGGATGAATAAAGGAACAAAGTGAAGAATAAAGTAACTCTTAAGATTTCCTCCAGTCTTTCATTCAGTGTTGTTAAGCCTCAGCCATTGCCCTCACCCCACTTCCAGCACAGCGTTTTGTGTATTTGAGGTGCATGATAAGTATTTCCCACTTAATTTTAGTGCTGGGAGGCGATAGAGCATTTTAGGTTTAAATGGTGTTTACTGCAGTTAACACACACATGTACGCACGCGTGTGCACACACACACTGTATCTTCAGTCTGGATTCTTGCAGAAGGTGACACGGGACATGTGTGCTTGTAGTGGCAAGCCATCCCGGGAAGCACTGCTGGGCGAATGGGGAAGTGAATTGGAAGGAAACGTGTAATTATGCCACTGACCACGGTGAGAGGTTCAGATTTGCAGTGGAGATGTGGGTAACACTGGAATAGGTGCCCCCCCTCCCCTGCTGACTCCATGGCACTGGCGTGTCTGTTCCTCCCCATGAGTCACAGGGGAGCTGACTTCTCTTACTCACCAAATCGTCCCTGTAGGCAGACTCCTGTCAGGAAATGTCCCTAGGTGGAGATGACATTTGGGACTGGAGCCACTGCAGGGATGTGGCAGAAGTTGAGAAATAATAAGGTTCCCACAGTTCTGATTACAAGGGCGTTTCTATCCTCTTTTAGTTCAACTCCTCTATCTTCCAGATGTTACTGTCCTGTGTTTTACTGTCAGTAGTTTATTTGACAGCATAGAAAAATCTACAAGTGTATTAGGAAATATAGCGTATTATATTTCTATTTCTGAATGGTCCCCCTTTGTGACTGCATTTCTTTGCTGGTAGAGTTTTGAAATTAATTTCTTTGCTTAATGTTACGGAGTAATTTTGAAACATGTCTAGAAGAAAACTCTCACCTTAGTGGATGCTTAATCTTCAGCCGTGCTCATGCTCACCCTGGAATTTAGGTTGAGATCAGAGGACAAGTTGTGGGAGTTTATTCTCTCCTTCCATCATGTGGGACCCAGGGATCAAACTCAGATTGTCAGGATTAGATACAGACACCTTTGCCCACTTTGCTCGTCTTTTATTATTATTGTATTATTGTTATTATTATTAATTTCTGAGTTATTGAATTGAAACTTACCACTGCTTAAAAATATATTTGTACATTCATTTGTTTGTTTGTTTGTTTTGGGACCTTGAAATAATCACAGCAACATGTGTCCTTGACGTGGGGAGGGAATGAGTATCTTTGGATTCTTCATATTGTCACCAGAACATCCAGCACTCAGCACAGGAGACGTTTACCAAGTGTCTATTGAAAAGTAGGTATGAGATAAGAAAGAGGCAGATGAAAGGAGTGTTTCCTTTACAAGTTTCTAGTACATAAGTATTATAGAAAGTCTTCAGATATCCCTGTCCACAGTGAGACCGCTGAGAAATGAACATGAACATGGCTGGCTGTCTGTTCCATGAGTTCAGCCTTGTAGGATTTCTGTTACAAAGCATAACTTGTATGCACAAGCATTAGAACGTTCACAAATGTGTCCACTGGAATGCTTAGAAATGGTGGTGATGCCACAGTCTGTCTCTTGGTGAAGATCTTAAATGCCTTTTTGGAGGAAGATGAATGACTTTTTAAACCACGTGCATTTGACAGAGACAGCGGTGAAGGAGAAGCTCTGCCCTGGCCATTGGTAGAATAAACTGTGTTTCTGTCAGCATGTTGTGATAACACTGCATTTCCTTGCATTGTCCAAGGGCAGTGGGATCACGTTCTGCATCTAGCGGCAGAGGAGGAGCACAGGAAACAAGCACAGATAAGTGTGTATTTTAGTATCCTCTCAGCCAGCACTCTCCTCAGAAGTCCCTCGGCTTACAGATGTGTCTGGGGAAATATGAGCTTGCAGGGTAAACACTAATTTAAAATAGTCCCATAATCATGAAGCCACCACTGCTGAATAAATAACTTGTCTGAGTGAAAATGCTCTAGTTATTATTCAACTAATATTTATTGAAAGATTATTTACACTTTCTGAGGAAAGGTGATAGTATTGAACCAGAGAGGTCAGGTCCATTTCATGCAGTTTATATTATGGCAAAAAGAGACACAATAAGGATAAGTAAACAAGGTTTGGTGGTACATGCCTGTTACTTCAGTGCTTGGAAGATAGAGGCAGGAGGATCAAGAGTTCAAAACCAGTCTCAGCACCATAGAGAATTCACAGCTAGCCTGTCTCAAAAATCCCAACTCCCCATAAAACTCCCAAATAAAAGGAACATACATGTCAAGATGGTTGTGAAAAGAGAGGAGTAAAGCGAGTGGAGGGGCTGATGCTTGAGCTAGGACTGTGAAATGGCTAAAAACAAAAGCGGCCAGGAGTGCCGAGACACAGAAAGGGCCAGAGCTGGGGTTGGTAAGTCAGGGTGGGAGCAGAGGTGAGGAGTAAGGGGCTGAATGATGAGGAGCAAGAGTGACAGGTGTCGGGGTTGAATGGCGTGCACAAGTCCAGATGTTTTCCTCCTGCGTCCTTGGTTCCAGTTTTGAAGGATTTCTGCAGTTAGAAAACAATCTTTTTAATTAGAAACAAAGTTTCCTCCAACTCCTTAGGATAGGAAAGCAACAAAACCATCTTATTGAGCAATATGCATTCAACTAGAATAAGGCACATAGGGCAATCCAGCAAAGAGAGAGCAAGGATACAAAGAATCTTACTCCTTCCCGTGGGTCAGAGAATGCAACAGTTATGTGGGGGCTTTGCAGTATAAAGACAAGTCTGGATCATCTCCTCAAAGGAAACTGGGTCATCAGGAGTTACCAGTGATTTTATTTCAGAAAGAGTTGAGAGTGGAATAGACCATGGAATAGACGGTGACCGTGACATTGGAGAGAAGATATTGGAGGAGGAAATGTATGTTTCAGTTCTGCAGGCAAACAATCCAGAGAGATGGATGTGGGAGAGAGAGGGCAAGCTGGGATTCTAGGGTGACAACTGGATTTAGGTTTGTGGATCTGGGTGCATAATGGTGCCTAATTGAGAAAAAAAAGAGTGGATGTTGGTTCATGGCCTGGTTTGCTTCTCTCTCTCCCTTTCCTTTCCTTTTTCCTTTCCTTTCCTTTCCTTTCCTTTCCTTTCCTTTCCTTTCCTTTCCTTTCCTTTCCTTTCCTTTCCTTTCTTTCCCTTTCCATTCTTTCCCTTGCCCTTGCCCTTGCCCTTGCCCTTGCCCTTTCCCCTTTCCCCTTTCCTTTCCTTTTTCCTTTTTCCTTTTTCCTTTCCTTCTTGTCACCTTGACACAGGCTAGAATTATTTCAAAAGAGGAACCTCAATTTAGGAATTGCTTCCATCAGATTGTAAACAACTCTGTAGGGCATTTTCTTGATTAATGAGTGTTAGGAGACACTGGGGCTATACTACCCCTGGGCAGGGAGTCATGGGTTCTACAAAGCAGGAAAAACAAGTCAAAGGGAGCCAAGTCAGTAAGCAGTGTGCTTTCATTTTCTCCGTTCTGATTCCTGCCTTGTTTTCCCTGGATGATGGAGGGTGACCCAAGGGTTGTAAGCTTCAGTCAGCCTTTTCCTCACCCCGTTTCTTTTGGCTATGGTGTTTTATTACAGCTACGGAAACCTAAGGCAGCTCATTCAAGCTGTATTGTGACTACAGTGAAATTAAAATGAACTACAGATCAGAATCAGGCACGTAAAATAAAAGTAAAGATCTCTGAAGGGAGGCTGTGCTCCATGTACAGACTTTCCTGTCCTTTACCATCAGTAAGTGGCTGCCTCCTGCTTCGCTTTTTCTTTTAATAAAGGCCTTTAGTAAGGGCTGCCAATAGTCAAACCAAAATGGCTGGAATCTGAAGTGAAAGATGGATGTGCTGAGATTATCCTACACAAGCTCTCTGAAGAGTGGAGGGGGACACTAGCTAGGAAGACTCCAGGGAAAGAGCTAAGTCAAATGGGAGAACCTTAGACTGCTTTATTTTCAAACTAGAGGAGGCTAAAATAGCATTTTTGTTAAGGAAGAAAGTAACTTATCTTGGGGCAGCAACAAAGGGAGGCCAGGTGTGGGAAGGAGTTGAGTTTCACATGTGACCTCGTCAGGTGTGGTGTGTGTAGGGGATAGTTGTCAACTCAAAGAAGCAAATAGTAGGCTTTATGGAGTTCTGGTTCCAGGAAACCACCGGAGTTCAAGTGGATAACATAAAACTCACCAGAAAGAGTGGCAAGATTCACCTATTGGGGTGAGAAGAGGGCGAGGGTCTTCTCCATTGTGGACATGATGGATACGGGGAGAGAGAAGCAAATGTGTCAGGAGACAAGCACCTTTTGAGGCCGTGACTGATTATGGCCTCCTTTAAGTCGGAGGTCCTAGACTTCGGAGTGCAGGGGATGCCGGCTGCACTGGGAGCCGAGAACAGCAGGTAGAGCTGCTCCTTTGAAAATGGGAAATAGGGAAGGCCTCTCCTGACCGCTGCTCTCTCGCTCGCTCTCCTGTCTTCAACCCCAGAATAATTTTGATTAAGAACAGGCAAGATGATTTATTCAAATTCTCAGAAACCTACAACCTACCAGCTCATTTGGAAAGAACCATACAAAGTAGACAGAAATTTAGGAGAATGTCACAAGAAGTGGGCAGTGTACGTTTCTGCCAAAACTTAACCATTTGTTTTCCTTGCGTAGTCTTTAAAAGCAAACAGGAAAAGACACATCTTGACTGAATTCACACAGAGGGGAATTTATGTTTACTAAATTCATTTTTCTTGTTTTTTTTTTCACCCAAAGAAGTCCCATATGACTGCAGATCAGCTATGTAAGATGAGCCAAAGCTACACCTACTGTTTTAGTTCAATCCCCAGTGCCCTGCTTTTCCTGCAGCTTCCAAGAGAGAAATAAGCACTCCAAGGCACAGTTTTCCCGGAGTTATACCTCTTTGGAGGAACTAGAAGTCTGGGAACTTCTATCCTAAAATACTGCCTTTGTAACGTGAGCACACTTAAGCATGTTTTCTTTGTTTTCCGCACAGACGCGAGGCAGTTTTTAATATATAATGAAGATCACAAGCGCTGCGTGGATGCTGTCAGCGCCACCGCAGTTCAGACAGCAAGCTGCAACCCGGACGCCGAATCCCAGAAGTTCCGCTGGGTGTCACAATGGCAGGTTATGAGCGTCGCTTTCAAACTATGCCTGGGGGTTCCGTCGAAGAGCGACTGGGCCTCCGTCACGCTCTACGACTGCGACGCCAAGAGCGAGCTGCAGAAGTGGGAGTGCAAAAACGACACGCTCTTTGGCCTCAGGGGCGTGGAGTTGTATTTTAATTATGGCAACAGACAGGAGAAGAACATCAAGCTCTACAAAGGTTCCGGTTTGTGGAGCAGATGGAAGGTCTACGGAACCACAGATGACTTGTGCTCCCGGGGGTACGAAGGTAAGAGCTGAGGGAGATTCCTCTTTTTATCCTCAGCTTTTTGTTTGACACTGACAGAAATGAACATGTCCTGGTGTGGTCAGCATAAGAGGCAGTCATCACGTTGAGTTTTTTAGTTATTCTGTGTTCTAGTCAGCCATGATGGGGAACAGGTGTGAAAAATTGGCCCCCCCCCCATAACCATTTGTCATTGCTAATTCATATGTAAACACTACTTTTTAATGTCTTTATATTACTCATTTTTAAGTAATAACGTAGTTTTCAAAACATTCCACTGTGACCTTTGACCGGAAATCTCCTTTTGACATTATGTGATTGTCTCATTAACTCTAACCAGGCCTTTTCTAACCTCAAAGGTAAGGTTAAGATTGCTCTGGAGAAATGATCCCAAGAACATTTTTTGCTTCAGATCACTGGAAACGAAATTCTGACTGTTTCTGATTTATTCTGTCACTCTAGGATATTTAGAGATGATAATCATTCTGGATTATTCTGACCGAGGAACTGGCCCACCAAGTATTTAGTCGCCTGTCTTAGGAAGGGGCAGCCTGAGCATGAAGGAAAGTTGCTTTTGTTTGACGTTGATTCCTTAAGCCTTGGAAGGGGAAATAAAATCAGAGTGTTTAGCAGCTCCCTGTCTTGGTCAGATTTCATTTGCTTGGAATCAGACATCAAAACAAGACAAGTACAAAGATCCTAAAGCCTGTTCTTCTGAGTCAGACGATGCTGCAACCTCATTTCACATTTGAATATTTTGCTATCATGAGGCGTTATGTAGAACAACCTCAAGGGCAGAGGAAGACAACGGCCTTCGGGAAAACCTCTTCTAAAGTTACTTTGTTGCTGAGGCTGTGGAGATGGGTTGAGCCCTGCCTTTGTAGTAAGGCAGGTCAGGGTCAGGGTCCCAGTTCCCTGTAGAGAGGTTGTTTGTCTGCTTCCTGTCTTCTGTCCTAAAGAGGAGAGTAAAAATTGAAGTAGGTGAGAGGAAAGTTCAGAGAAGAGTTATTTTCAGGCATTTATAGAACATGATATAAACTTAGAAATTCCAAGAAAGGCAACCCAGGTAACGCCGCCTTCCAGGGGAAACCCAGTAGAAAACCCAAATTGCAAGACAAGATCACTCAAACTTGACAGTGTGGAATTCTGACAAGAGGACAGTTGTCAAGTTGAGGACTTCAGTTTGGGGACAGTAGTGTTAGAGCTCATCTCGATGGACTTACGAGTTTACTGTTTCCCCCACAGCACCAGGGTTGAACCTAAGGCTGCACACGTCCTGGGTGTGTGCCCCCCCACTGAGCTATATCCTCAGTCCTTTGAAGTTTTACTTTTGGTTTTGAGGCAGGGTCACCAGCTTGTCCAGGCTGGCCATGCACTCACTCTGCAGCTCAGATAACCATTAAACCTGAAGTCTTTTTGCCTCAGTCTCCTGAGAAGCTGGGATTACAGGCCCGTACCCCAAGACTTGCCTTATTTTATTTTAAAATACAGTAGTAGGTCCCCATCTTTCTGTTCTGCCATTTACTTTCAGAGAAACATGCATGGTACTTAGGGTAGCGATCAGCACATTTTAATGTGCTTCATAAACACCTGGTAAACTTGTTTAACTGTATAGATTGCAGGCTTTACCCCCCACTTAGATTCTTAAGTAGTGCATGAGGAGGACACAAGAGTCTTTGTATTATTTTGATGAAGAATTGGGTGGTGGTTTTGAAGATGTCCCACCGTTGACATTGTGCCAACACTTTGACAGTCTTTCAGTACTTAAAAATAATCCTGCAGAAGGGCCTAACCCCTCCAAATGACTTTAATTAAAAAAAATTAAATTGTGTGTGTGAGAGAGAGGGAGAGAGAGACTGAAAGACTAAGAGTTTGTGTGTGGCTGTAAGTGCAATACCTGTCTTGAAGAGGGTATCTGATCCCTTGGACCTGGGTTAAATGTGGATGTAAGCCACCTGACACAAATTCTTGGCGTTCTCTGCGAGAACACTACCTGCTCTTAATCACTGAGCCATTTTTTTCAGCCCTAGAGGAACCTTTTAGTTCCTTTAGTGCAATATAGTTAGAACAGAAGGCACCATCTCATTGGAAAACTGGTTGATCTCAGTGTCAGGACTGGTGTTGATTTGGATGCTCTAAAGGGTTATCTGGAAGTCTGAGCTCTTAAGAAGGAACAGCAATTTGATGTCATTTTTTGTGCTTCTTTCATGAGGTGGGAAGGGCAAAGTTTGATTTTATGGACCGCTTCTGTTCCTATTTTTGAATGAATTTTTTTTCCCTGAAAGAGCCACCGCTGATTGGCATCTGTAGACCCAGTAGGAGGCTGTGTTGTCTAACTTATTGAAGAGTACAACTGGCCTGTGCTGGTTCCCATGATTTTCTTGATGGGAAGGAGCAGGCAACCTTGGCACTAAGACTTGGCCCAATTCTTACTGAATCCAGCATGTTCCTCATACAGACTTAAGATGTGAGAGTTGTTCCTGTGCTGCTGAGTTGGCCCAGTTGTAAAGACACTTGCTGCCAAGCCTGATGACTGACTTCAGTTTCTGAAACTGCCATGGTGGAAGGAGAGACCCTGCCAGACAGGTCGTCCTCTCACTTCCTCACATGCATCCTGACCCACAGTGCTCTACCCACTTCACTAGATAAAGTTTCAGAAAAGGTTTGACCTATAACTTAGCAGAACTAAAGCTAGAGCAGCATTATAGTTTTATTAATAGCTGGGTAAGAAGTACTCTTTGAGTCATTAAGAACAAGTCCAGATGAAATAAGTATAAAGGGTAAAAGAGAAGGGAAAGAAACAAAACCCAGTAAAAAAAGTTGTTGGACATGGTAGCCCATGCCTGCAATCGCAGCATGCCAGAAACTGGGCCTAGAGGATTAAGTTTGAGGGCACTGTGGGCTAAGTAATGAATGCATCAGTGTCTCATAAATAAATAGCTTTTTGTAAATTCAAAAAAAGAAAAGTATTGACTCTAAAGAGTGTCTAAGGGTTTGGAGTGGTTTCTTTTTAGGATATGGATTAGAGAACTATGCTGTTTCCGTACCCCGTCCACACACACATCATTGTGGAGTGGAGGCTGACATGCTCAGTAGTTAGAGGGGATTTTAATATTGCCTGAGTGTTTTGACTTCTGGCTTTTTTTTGCTTTTGTGTGCATGTTATTTATGTTTATGTGTGCCCATGTGTCAGAGTTGGTGCCTTGTGTTTTCTTCCATCACTCTTCACCTTATATATTGAGTCAGTCTCTCACTTGAACTTGAGCTCATTGATTTGGTGAGTCTACTTAACCAGTCTGCTCTGGGGATCTGCTTCCACCTCCCCATTTACATGGGTCCAGAAGAGCTAACCCTGATCCCCACTTAGAGCAAACTCATACTGTTAAGGTTGTTTTCAAGCTGAGTAACTCCTGAAACTCTGTAATTCTACCCAGGAGAAAGGAGAGCATCTCTTTGGCCTGGGAGGAAAGGCAGAAGCTAAAGTTCAGTCACAAGAGCTTATTGCCACTGTTTCCTCAGAAGAAGGGGGCCAGTACAGTCCAACAGCTGGTGGGGAAGGGGTGGCACCTAAGCACATGCTGCAACAGATGCTCAGCAAAAGACTCTGAGGAGGCAGAGCAGGAAATGTACCACAGATGAGAATACTGACATTAACCCGTTCAGGATGCTCTGTCAGCATGCAGACTTGTGTCGCTCACATTCTAAATGCAAATCCCCATGTCCCTCCAGCTATGTACACCTTACTGGGCAATGCAAATGGAGCCATCTGCGCATTTCCGTTCAAGTTTGAAAACAAGTGGTATGCAGACTGTACCACTGCTGGGCGGTCGGATGGATGGCTCTGGTGTGGAACCACCAGTAACTACGACGCTGACAAGCTGTTTGGATTTTGTCCGTTGCAATGTGAGTAACTGGTTGTAATACACTTGGAACACTCAGCATGACAGCATGATGGTAGGACGTCGGCTTTATGTGGAACCTGCTCCTTCAGTTTTTTTCACACTCACTATCACAGAGTACCCCACTGTCACCCTTTACAGATGCCGTAGCTCCCATTCTGGCATGGATAAAATGAACTATTGTGGCAGAAGACATTTGTTTGTATTTAGACCTTGGGAAGAAGATCAGGCAGCATTCCCATTGCCCCAGGATTCCTTGCATGAAATAACCTGTTTATTTCTATCCTCTATCTGCCTTGTTTTGTTTCTTGATTTATTTTCCCTTCCTTCTTTAACTTTCTCCTTCACCATTTTTCCTTCTGCTAGGAATCAAACCCAACCTCATACATGGTAAGCAAACACTCAGCTATTGAGCACATACCCTGGCCCTATCAGTTATTTGCTAATACTATACTGTATACATAATTATATATATATATATATATATATATATATATATATATATATATATATTCAGTGCTAGAGGTAGGCATCCTGTTCTCTCCAACTGCAAATGCTTTAGCTTTATAAAGCCCAAAGGTTAAAACAAGAATTTAGTTTCAACCATGAATGTGTTTGGTGGAAGAGAGACGATGCGGGCTCTCATGTTTTGTGCTGGAGTGCCCAGCTGTGAAAATGATACTGATAGAGGCTTCTGAAGCTCAACGTTAAGAAGGGTGGAATTTGATTTAGCTGGAAATCAATGAAAGTGGGTAATGTATGCTTCAGAGTCCTTTGAAAATGGAAGTTCAGTGTTGCTAGGACCAGCAAGATCACATCAAGTGCCAGAACATGAATCCATGTTTAAGAATCTGCAAGAAAATGTGTAGTAGGTCTTAGATGGGGTTGGAGGGCAGTTGGGAGACAGAGCTAGGGCAGAGGAGGAGGAGGAGGAGGCTGGGGTCTTTTCTTTATTTCTGTTTCTCTGCACATCTTTTCTGCAATCAACTGCCCTTCCTAAGTTACTTATTGCCCACCTCTCTTACATGGGATGCTGGATTATCACAGCATGTTTTTTTTTTTCACATTACCCAGGACAGGTTTTCTGCTACCCCATAAAGAAAACTAGACTAGAGAGGACAGTTCAGGGTGGTCCAGAACTGCTCTGGAATTACCTGAGTTGTAATACCATTGTTTCCTACTAACCTTTTTGTGATCACAAGTGCACACATCAGCATTCTAACTAAGCCAATATTCTATGTCAGTAAAACTTAGCAAAATTTCCTAATGTCAAACTATAGCCAGACCTCTGAGAATTTCAGCTACTTGAACTTTTGGGTTTATAATTCCTAACCATATTATTAAAGCTTGAATTATATAAGCTTGAATTCATGACACAGGCTTCAAGTCTGTAATGATACCATTCCCTCGCTTTGACTGAGGTAGATGTATTTGTAACAGTATTTGAAACTCAAGTTTCAAAAGGCTTCAAGTCCATAATGATACAAGTCTTCACCCTCAATAGAGGTAGATATTTGCTTCTCTTATATCAATATTTAGAAATTTGATTTTCACTCAAGGCTTACAGATTTCTAATATTATGAATGAGAAATCTTTTTGTCTGAAAAAGTGAAGTTTTAAAGAAAGGCACACCAATTTTCAACTGGTGAAGCATTGTCTTTTGTAGTAAGAGTGACATTTTCTAAGTCAGTCACAGTTTTTCTTAGGGGTATGTGCTCCCTGGGTCCAACAATAGTATCCTCCACTTGAGTGGTATCAATAGAGGACCTGCTGCATGGATGTGCAATGGAGAAAGTGTATAGAACAAATGGGATGTCAGTATCACAAAGAAGGCTTTGATGTCCTAGGATAACGTTCAGTCTTATTAGTTCTGTGTATTCTGGGTAGCCAAAAGATATATTTTTTTCTTGATATAAAACACATTTAAAAGACAAATATCTATAAAAAGTTATTTTATTTCCATCAACTTTAATTTTGCTTTGTATTCTATTCAAAGTAGTATTTTATTTTATGTTATTATTTTATACTAGCCATAAGCCCAGAAGGGTTGATACAGGATAAAGAGATGACAGTTGCTGACCTAGGGACACCAGGCACGTGGTTTCATTGTTTTTTGGGTTTGTTTATTGTAATGTTCTCCTTGTGTTTAGACACTCAGTTGTCACCTATCATGAGAACAGGAAAAGGAAGAGAGCTCATTCTCCCAATTGTCCATAGCTTGCAGCTTTGCCGTTTAGCATCAGCTTTGCCGGTTTACTGTGGGAAGCTGAACTGTGGGCACTTGTGCAGTCAGCCAGCTTGTATGTATATCGAGAAATATATTTTAACCTTTCGATCTAAAATGTAAGAGAAACTTTCTTTAAATGAAGAGTTGCTTTATTTTATTTTGGGGTCATTAAATCCATTTAATTATTCTCAAATCAGAAAATTTCCTCCTTTAGTTAACAGCTACATCTTCTATTTTATTCTGAGCAAACTCCACAATTACAGTCTTTAAAATGTTTATCTTCAAATAATCTCCAGTAAGTCTCACTGGAAAGTCTTGTGTGCACAAACATTAAATTTGTCAGATATCAGATCATTCTAAGTATTTCATTGTTAATTGAAATGCATTTTCCTATGGTGATTTTATAGCTGTTTTAGTGCTGGGTGTTCTCAGTAGTCAAGTGCCTGCTTACCTTCTGCAGAGGCCAGGGTTCCATCAACAACAAACTTTGGACATTTCTGTGCCTTTGTCTGAATCAAATTCTAAAAGGTTTCCTCCTTCGCCTTTGATGTGTTTTGTTATTACAGATGTCAATACAGGGTGTGGTATGTGCATGTGATTGAAATACATGTGATTGAAAGCGTTCTGATTGCCACTTCCTCGTCAGACTTGAAACATAATTAGATCCACAATTAAGAACTATGTTACCATCCACTACAGTCAACTTAGCAAGTTGACTACTTTATTATATAATATTATAAATCCCTTTAATTTTATTTCATTGTAAGTAAATGAAAAGGTTCTGCCTTTTCCCAGGGTCATAAGCGGAATTTTTTTGTTATTAAAAAAGGAGAAAAGGACATTTACATAGCATGAAACATAGGAAAACATTTTATTTACTGACTTCCAAACATCTTATTTGTAAAAGGCTATAAATAATACTCACGTATCTATTATTGGCCCTTTGTAGGGTCTACCAATTTTATGAAAGATACTAGCAAAGTGCCAGCATAAGCTAAAATGGCCATTTTTTTAACCAAGGGAAGAAAGCCCAATAACTGGCATAATCTATTGCTAAGACCTAGATTAAATGTATCCTGGTGATGATAAAATGAAGCTGTGGAAGTCACTTTACTGTGAGCCTGGCGGGTTCAGGCGTAGACAGCTTGTCTAAGGAATATGTGATCTTCTCTCTTATATCTTTATTTCTTAAAAATTAAAACTAGACCACAGACCCACTCACCATGACAAACCATGCATTTATTTTCTCTCCCTTTCCTATTTCCTTCATTAATCCAGAACTCTAGGCTGGTGTCCTGAGTGTTCTTCCTTGTGTCTGCCTCATGTCTTACATTGTTTGATCCAAATGCCCCAGCGGCAAACCAGGGAGAAGATGTCTCTTTCTTGCTTTAGCACATGAACCACTAATCTCCTCTTCATTTCAGGCATGAGGAAAGGATGGACAGATTTAAAACTAAATGAAAGAGCAACAGCAGAAGATGTGATCGTGGGAACTGGATGATTTTTAAAGTGTATTGTTCATTAGAAGCATTTCTCATGCACAACACAGCTAATTCATTGTCTTCTTTCTCAGTCGAGGGCAGTGAGAGGTTATGGAATAAAGATCCACTGACCGGTATTCTATACCAGATAAATTCCAAGTCTGCCTTAACCTGGCATCAAGCAAGGGAGAGCTGCAAACAGCAGAACGCTGAGCTCCTGAGTGTCACAGAGATTCACGAGCAAACGTATTTGACAGGTAATGACACAATTCAAAATTGTAAGTAAAATCAGATTATTTGATTTCCATATCATGTAACTTAAAAGCAGATAACAAGAGACATTATTAATGCCACAAAAAGGTTTGCCCCCAAACAGATGATACAGATCATAGAAGAAATCTGTGTTCAGAAAACAGCACCAGAGATGAGAAATAACTGCCTCTTCTTGAGTGGACTTTGTTGTGACTGTCTGTAGGGTCTGTGTTAAGGATTCTGAGGAATCCACTATCAGTGAATGGTGTGGTTTTGGGATTCCACAGAGGTACCCATTACTAACCCAAAGCCAAAGGTTTTTTTGTTAACATCAGAGAATTTAAGATGATAAAATGAAATGAGCTACCAGTAGCAGAGACAAGTCAGTAATTCCTGTGCAAATCTAAGTCTCTTTTGCCTTGTGCCTCTTTGACTCTCTGATCTATATATTTTCAGGTTTCTATACTATATTGTTTGTCTTTTTAAAAATCTGTTATAAAGTTGGGAAATTAGTGTTTGATTGAGAAAAGAATATATGTCTAATCCCCAGTACTCATTTCTGAGGGCTGGAGGGGTAGCTCAGTTGCTAGAAAGCTTGCTGAGCATGTAGCAGGGCATGGGTGTGATCTCAGGCATGCTTGCCGGCATCCCTACCCACCCAACTTAATTGTTCTCTCAAAAACAGAAACAGAAAACCTGCAACAGCAACCAAAGCATAAGGTGGGCATGGTAGTTACCTCAGTTATTTGTATGGCCATGTTTCTAAAATACCCTGGCCAAAAGTCACTTGGGGAAGAAAGGATTCATTTTGGCCTACAGTCCCAGAGGGATGAAGTCCATCGTGACGTGGAAGGCTTGACAGTGGGAGCATAAACTGGCCTAGCAGGCAGGAAACAGGAGCTCACATTTGAGCTACACAAGAGAAGCAGAGAGAACATGAAGGCCGGTCTATACAACCAAAAAGCCCACCCCTAGTGGTGTACTTTCCTTAGCAATTCACAACCTTCTAAAGGTCCCACAACCTTCCCAAACAGTGGCATCAACTGGAGACCAAGTATTCTTATACACAGGCCTATCCAGGGCAAGGGGAAGGTGTGCTTTTCTTTCCAGCCACTGCAGTGGTGCGCAGTGCGTGACGTTCAGGGTCATTCTGCACCACATAGCCAGCTGCACATCAGTCTCAGCTGCAGTTTACCTAAATCAAATATAAGTCAATAAAAACCCACGCTCAGGGAAGCGAATCTTAGGGCCATATATCAGCAAAAACATGTCTACTTCCCCATTGTCGGAGCCCACTTCCTCCTGTTCCCCTGGTATTACTGTTACATAATAGATCTTGGACCTGTGACTGTTGTTTACAACATACACTGTGGCTCCTAATTTCCTATCATGAAACACTTTGTTCCTAGATGCCATACAACCTCTTAACAAAGGTCTGTGGTTCCTCATGGGTGGTATGGTTGTCTCACACTGCTCGCTGCCACATCATGTTTTAAAGCTAGAATTCCCTGACTGTTAAAGTCTTCCAACGTCCAATTGCCGATGTGTCTCTCTGCTTTGGCAATGTTTCAGGGTCCAGGGTAGGATCTGGGATGGGATTCTGAATCCCAGTTTCACTTTATCTTTTGGGTCACCTTCCCCCCCCCCTGCATCCAGGACTGTAAAAGGCCACTCCTAGCCAGAACTGCAAGGGGTTGTAAAAAGGGGCTCTTTGATCTGAGACTAGCTCCTGTGCAGGAGCAGGCCGCTATGGAGGCTTCCACAGGCTAAAATAAACTTTTTCCTCTTTGTCTTAGGCTGATACTTAGATCGTGAATCGCTGTTAACTTGTTTGTAAATTGGTAAGAAAAAGAAAAAGAGAGAGAAAGTAAGCAAAAACCATTCATGCCCACATGCTCAAAGAAAAAGGCGCATGAAGTTAAAAACTTGAATTTCATTGAATTCCACAAGCTTACATAAATGATGGTGATGCTGATTTCTATTAGCATCCCCTCTGCAGACACTGCAGCAAGTTTAGGCTGCCAGTTCCAGAGCATCAGCCCATACATACACATGGAAAAACAATCAGACATATAGACCTATGTGTATTCATACACCCATTCAATGGACGATGCAAAAGGAGCTCCTTACATACAGAAAATTGACATACATATAACGTATGTACATATGCCATGTAACATAAGTACAAAAAAGACAGACAGACATATCTATATGTAAACACATATTTGTCTACATATTTACAACTCATGGATGAAGTGAATTCCATTGGGCTTCCATTCAATAAGCTTCCACCACCGGGCTTCTGTTGAAGGGGTGTTCTGCCACCATTCATTGTATGGCCTTTATACTTGTGAGGCCAAGCTCCCAAGAAAGGAAAATCCTAAAATACAACAGGTTACATGTTTTAAAACTAAACATTTCTTATCTACGTATCCATTATATAAGTTCACAGTTCAGAATGACAAAGTTTGACAAGGCCTAAGTTACGAAAGTATATGACTTTTCAATTAGGACTGACCTGGATATGCATTTTTCAGCTATCTCTAGGTTTATAGGGAGTTCAGGACAACAATTTTATCTGTCTTTCATTCTAAGAAACAAAGTAAATTTAAAATGACAGTATATAATGCCATAAGGTGACAAGGTATAAGCTGTTTCAACAGAACAGTTTGTATATATTTTACATTAAAGTTTGTACTTAATTAGACATTGCTTGGCTGTCTCATTTTTAATTTGGGTTCATAGGAGGTTTAAACCAACTCACCTATATTTATGGTGTATACCAGGATTTGTAAATGAAGGCTATCTGAAGTTACAAATATGCCTTTAAAGCTGTTTCCTAGTGAGGCATCTGGAGGTCCACAAAGGTATTTATTGCAGCCATAAACTTTCTAAAGTTGTTTTAGATGTTCTAAAACAATTTAACTTTTAAAATTGTTTGAATCAAATCAAGAATTCCATAATCAGGAATTCAGTCATCTGAGCGGCAGTACACCTTCATTAATATCCCACAGGAAGTTTGTTCAATCATAGTGTATAAATACCCAGAAAGTGATGATTCACACCATGCCAGAGTATAGAGAGATGCAGCAATGCACAAAGAATGAATGTCAGAGACTGGAAGCAGTTCTAGAGTGTATCGTGGTACAGACCTTGCAAAATACTGGATCTCCTTCCGGAAGGCCCACATGCCTAATAAGTTTCTTTAACAGAATGGCTCCTGACACCCAGACTTTGTACAGCGAATATGGAATACTCTTCATTTCTCTTATCTTCTTATTAGCACTCTTATAACTTCTTTATTTAGATTTTTTGTGTACATATCTGTTTGCATACATATGTGTGCCTGTGTATGTGGAGAACAGAGGTCAACTTTGGGTGATGTACCTCAGAAGCCAGCCACCTTATTATTAAAAAAAGTTTTTTTCTTTAAAATTTTTATGCAACATATTTTTATCATATTTATTTCCCTTCTCCAACTCCTTTCAGATCCTCTCCTGCCTCCCTAACCACCCAACTTCATGTTCTCACTCAATTAAAATAACAATAAAATCACCACCACAACAAAGCAAAACAAAACCCATGACATCCAGTTTTTATTGGCCAATAACTCTTGGGTGTGGGTCCTGTCCTGTACTGAGATCATAAAACTTGGGTGACACACTTCAGTAGTCATCCACTTTTTTTTTTTTAAGAGAAGGCCTCTCCCTGGGATTGGGCTCCCTGATTAGGCTAGTCTGACTGTCCAGTGGGACCCAGGGATCCTCCTGCCTCTGCCTCTGCCTCTGCCTCTGCCTCTGCCTCTGCCTCTGCCTCTGCCTCTGCCTCTGCCTCTGCCTCTGCCCCTCTGCCCCTGCCTCTGCCTCTGCCTCTGCCCCTCTGCCCCTGCCTCTTCCCCTCTGCCCTTCTACCCCTCTGCCTGTGCCCCTCTGCACCTCTGCCTCTGCCCCTCTGCCTCTGCCTCTGCCTCTGCCCTTATGCCTCTACCCCTTTGCCTCTGCCTCTGCCTCTGCATATTTTCTACTACACTTGGCTTTTTATGTGGCTACTGGTGATCAAACTCAGTTCTCATAACATAACAAGTACATTATCTCCTCAGCTCTTCTTATTACCATTTTATAATACTGATTTGCACAAATACTTCATAATGTATTTATAAACACTACAAATTATTGTGATTTCTCCCCCACCACACACACATTTATTTATTCATTCACTCTTGATAACTTTGGGGTGGGCATTCTGTTAGGTCTTGGAGACACCCATGCTGACCCTGACATGTTTACATGGGACTTAAAGTCCCACAAGGAAAACAGTTATAAACAAGAAAACCGGTAAGTGACCAAACACTGTGTTAGGAAGCACATGGGGAAAGCAAAATGAGTAGAGCGTGGAGAGTGAGTTAGTGAGGTAAGTGCCTAGAGAGGAGGCTCATAACAATAGGTATACCTCTCGCTCCCACACCCTTCCAAAGAAGAAGGCCTCAATGTTTTCTGAATGAAAAATGATGATGAAAAAAAAAAAGGTAATTATTTAGAAATTACCCTAAAGTTTGAGCAAGAGTTATTAGATTGTAAGGAAACAGTGTAGTGATTCTTCATTTTATAATTTTTATGTTTATGTATTTAGTATACATGTGGGTGTGGGTATGGAGGTCAAAGAACAACCTGCACGAGCTGGTTCCCTCCTTCTTCCACGTGGATTTCAGGGATCAAACGCAGGTTCGTAAGCTTGGTGGCAAGTGTTTTTTCCTGCAAAGCCATCTTGCTAGCCCCAGTGTTATAGTTGATAAAAGTGAAGTCAGTTATCGCCTCAGTCTGTGAGGTGGAGGTGTAGAACTAGCCAAGTCTTGATGGCCAGCAGCTCAACTAGACCCTGTGTGCTCTCTCTGGTTTCTGTGTAGTCAGATACACTAGCCTGATCCACAGGTCCATCCGGGGAGCAGGCAGAACTGGGAGAGACAGCGCTGGGTTCATTTCACATGTTTCTTTGAATCTTACTCAACTTCCAGAATGTAGTCAGCATATTTCCAGTAGAATCTGGATATGAGTGGCTATTCTGGGAAGCCAGGGTACTTCCTGCCCTTCTGTAAGTAAAAAATAATATGCCACGAGGAAAGGTTATCTGACAGGAAACATTAACAGATCTTAAACAGAGGAAAGACATTCCTTTTCTCACAAGGAAAGATATCCACAGTATTTGGCATGCATTGGCTTATACTGAGGAGGAATCTAGGAAATGATGGCGTGGTGGATGGATATTGGTGATGGAGAAATACACACTCAAAATGTAAAATAGCCCATAGCAGATATAAAGTAAAGTGCATTTTATGCGAGGAGTTTGGGAAGTCAACAGGATTTTTAAACGTGCATACTCCACAGTGACGACTCTGAAATTAAAGACTCTTGTTAAGACGGATGTGGTCGTTGACACCTGTCCCCACACTCAGTGGCTGAGGTGGGATGATCCCAAATTCGAGGCCAGTGTGGACTTCAAAGAGAATGCCATAAAGAAACAAATTTGTTGCCCTTTCTTGGATAGGGGCCATGTGCCAGACACTGGAATTTACTTCGTAAGCTCATACTAACCTTGTAAATAAATATCCCACTTATTTTAATGAAGAATAGTTGATGTTTATAACACAGATCTAAGACTATGGGAAGCCCTCCCCTCTTGATGACTTTTTGTTTTCAGAATTATTAATTTTACTTTATGTGTGTGAGTATTTTGCCTGCATGAATGTATGTATACCACATATGTGCCTAGTGCCTATAGAAATCAGGAGAGGACATCAGCTCCCCTGGAACTGGAATTATAGATGGTTGTAAACTACCAGGTGGATGCTGAGAACTGAACCTCAGTCCTCTGCAAGAGCAGTAAGTGCCCTTAATCTCCATGACATCTCTCCAGACCCTGGAGATTTAAGTTTTAAAGGGATTAAATCCATTGGAACTACTCATCTTAATGTTGGGTTCTGATTCTAGTCTGTACAACTACTGTTTAACTCTCACCAAAGTGTTCAACCTGGCTGTCTTTGATTGTCCTAGCTGTTCTATTAAGGAACTGGACTAGATGCTTCCCCAAGTATAATGTATCTGAGAGAATTGTGCTAGCTCTTAGAACTTTTTCTTCTAGAATGCCTGATAAAGAATAAATGAGGTGTGGAATGACAGTTCAGTAGTATAAGATCACTAGTCCATTTCCAGAGGACATAGGTTCAATTCCCAGCAACCACATAGTAGTTCACAACCAAATCTCCACTTCTAGGGGATCCAATGACCTTCTGGTTTCTTGGACATTAGGCACATGTGCACAGATATCATGCAGGCAAAACACCTGTTCACATTAAAAAATAATTGAACTTGAAGTGCCATTGAAACTTATATATTAGTTTTTATTTTATTTTTCTCATACTGTTAGTTCATGTTAAGAAGTAATAGTAAGATCTGGACATGGTAGCATCCATCTTTTGTCCCCATGCTTGGTAAGTAGAGGCAGGCAGATCTCTGTGAGTTTGAGACCAGCCTGGTCTTCCTAGTGAGTTCCCGTCAAGGCAGGGCAAGATGCTGTAACGGAGGAAATCAATTATTTTTTTTAAAAAGGTCATGCCTCCATTACTGGGGACAGTTTTGTAATCAAACTGAATAAATCAGTCCTGAATAAAACAAATACCAAACTTACCAATACCCTTGGGTGGTTTTTTCTTTGCTTTTGTGAGATGAGAACAAGTTGAGGGCAAGATGCAAGGCATGACTGCCCAGGAGAGCACAGTGTACTTGGAATTGGGGCGAATAGATGTGTCATCTGATTCTTGGCATTGTCATGGGTCCCACTTCCAGGCACGTCAGTATAAGACACCAATGTGTGCATGTATAAGCTACTGGAAAACTAGTAGCAATTTCAGTGGCTTTGCGATACTTCAGAGTGACTTTTTTTAATCCAAACTGTGGAATCCCAGCGCTCTTGTCATATAGACTCAGGTTCAAAATTTAGCTTTGTCATATTGTTTAAAACTGTTTTGTCGTGCATAAATTACAGATAATTAAAAATTTTCATTTGACCGTTTCATACATCTGTGCAATCAGTTTTAGTCATTGTCACACATTGCATTCCTGGTTCTCATCAGTCTCATCTCTTCTCAGCGGGGCCCCGCCTACCTCCAAGTCTGCCTTTGTGTGTTGTGTACTAAGTTTAATTGGTGTTTCTTGGCTGATTGTTGATGGGAGGTTATTTTCTGGAACCAGGGCAACTTACCAGTCAGTGTACCCTGAAAGAAAATGATACTCCCTCGCTAGAGCAACTGTTAATTGCCAGTAGTCTCTAGAAGGCTGTGGCCCTATGATCCCTTCCGCTCTGCGTGATGATGTACTGAGGGACCCGAGCTTGTGCAGATGTAACCACTGCTGCAGGGAGTCCATGCGTGCAATGGCTGTGCCTGTCCAGGAGCCATCTGTGTGCTGCACATCTCCGAATCCTCTGCTTGTACATTTCTTTCTGCCTCCTCTTCTGTGTTTTTTTCAGCTTCTAAATATTGTAAGTGCTTAGCTGCTAACTCTTACTACAAAAACGTTTTACTAAGGAAAATATTTGACAGATACCAGTGAGAATAAACTGGCAAAAATTTTTAAACATGTATACGGATTTGAACTTCTTTTTAAAAGTAAATAAAAGCATATATTTAAAAATTGTTTCCCATTACTAAAATTATTTGGAGAGATTAGAAAATTCCTACTTTTGATTTTTTAAAAGATACAAATAGTGAGAGGTTGAAATGTGTTAGCAGATCTGTGTGGCATTTTTATTTTTGTTTTTATATTAGGCTTCAGTAATCTAACTCACTGTTGTTATTATTTATTATCTGCCTAAATAAAACATTGCTTGTGTTGTCATAAATATTAAATTTTCAGTTCAATCATTGTTTCTAGAGTAGCAAAAATTAATTTAAAACTCATCATAAATTTCTCAGAATAGATTCTTAGATACTAAGTTGAGATAATGAGTTATGACCACGTAGGTCAAAGTGTTTAGTATAAAATTTCAGTCACAGAAAAGTTTTGATTTTTTTTAATAAAATAAATCTTAATTTTATTCTCAAAGGAAGTACGGAGTTAACCCAAGTAAGTCCACATATGAAGTGCTTATACCCCTAGGAGTGTAAACAATGGTTAAGATGATTACATTAATAAGGAAACCTTAGCCCGAACCCTACCAGCTTTTCATGGAACTCTGCCTGTTTCTTTACCGGTCAGTGGAGGTCACGATTCTACTTGTTTTAGATCATTAGGGAACGTTTTAGCAGTGTTAATCACTACTTCACTCACGTTTAAGAAACAGATTTATTATTATTATTTTGTTATTATTCCTGTGTGTGTGAGAGAGAGAGTCTGAGTGTGCAAGTGCATTTGGAGGCCAGAAGGCCTTGGGCCTCCTGGAGCAGGAGCTCTACAGGGTTGTGAGCCACCCAGCGTGAGTGCTGGGAACCTAACCAGGACCCTCGGAAAGAGCAGTATGCACTCTTAACCACCGAGCCATCTCTCCAGCACCTTTTCTCACAAATTGGGTTAACACAGTTAATGCTGGAGTTAATTACACTGTCATTTCTGAATACCTGTTTTGTGCTTGTGTTTGTTTTTTTCACCCTATAGGATTGACCAGTTCCTTGAGTTCAGGACTCTGGATTGGGCTCAACAGTCTGAGTTTCAGCAGTGGTTGGCAGTGGAGTGGAGGCAGCCCGTTCCGATATCTGAATTGGCTCCCCGGTAAGTTTAACCCTGTCTGAGTGTTATTGGATGAGGGTAATTCATCAGGGTATCTTAAAGAACTTCCTTACATTACAGCTAGAGTTCAAAGAGACTTAAGGGAACAAAACTCATTTCCCATCATGCTTTGAAATGTGCAACCTGAATTTGAATATTCTAAAGGTGGAAGTTTAGATAGGGCCAGCTTCATGGGATAAGGCCTTTTCTCACCAGGATAATCTTGACAGTCACTACACATTGCTGTTTGATGTCTACATTCTCCAAAGTGGCTTTGATTTGTTACAGTTTTACATTCAAAAGTACATTTTGTAGCTATTCTTAAGTATGATCAAAGACAGTAGAATTATTACTATTAATATGTATTTTGTATTGTATTAACTTTGTCATTGCCCTTGAAAGGATCATCTGACAACTATTACAAAGTTTAAGTGCTTTCAATTTTTTATATGAACATTGTCCTCCCTGAATTTTGGGATTCTCTTGTCTTATCTGAATTTTAAAAATTCAGTTTAAAAGTGTTTATATATAGGAGACATACATACTTCTGATATATGCAATGCTTTGTAGACGTAAATGACCTCACACGCTTGGTGGACCATAGCTCATTCTTCTTCTAGTGGTTAAAGATAAAGCAGGCCATTTTTTCTATTATTGAATTGTGTACAAAGGGTTTAATAGCCAACCCTTGTAGTCTCACATCACACTGAGACAGTTTGGGGGTTACCTTTACATGAAGGCATCATAGGAAAGGAAAGGTGTTCCCTTCTTCCTGGGAAACAGGTTCAACACTAACTCACCTTCTTAAATAGTGAGTTTTTTGAAATTAGAAAATTGAAGCTATTTTTGTAGAAATTACTCAGTCATGTCAGAGGATGTAGGGCTGGATGCACGGATCCACTGTAGTAGATACCAACCCCGGCTGGTTCTTTAACCAGCTTCCTGTAAGAAACGGATGAGGAGAGAGCTCCAAATGATGTTCCTCAGTGAGTGCATCAAGAATCTTAGTTCTGGGAGGGTGGCACATTGGCTTCCAGATTTCTTTCACTGTGTTTGTCCCTCCTGTTATCTCTCACTTTGGCCTCCTCTCTCTGATGGGGAAAGGTTAACAGAGGTCATCTGACCTATTTCTTCAGTTAACTTCAATTAGTTTTGGAGGTTGCCATTAACAGCGTTAATGTGACCAGCTCGGAGCAACATATGTTTTTTTTTTTTTTTACTTAATTATTATATGTAACAAAGGATGTCATCTGTCACCACAGTTGTTTAAAGTTTAAGCTCTGATATTATCCTCTGTTGGGGTGATTATTTGAAACCATTCTTCTGTCTAATTCACATTTTATGCCTTGGAGTAAGCCAGCAACAAGGACCTAATAGATGCCCGCCGTGTCTTTTGCTCTGCACTCAGTAAATACTCGTTTGTGAATGTGTAGCAAAAGACAGGGTGGGGATCCATTAAATCCCAAGGATGACGACGTGAGGTGTGGCGGTTGGCAGGTGCAGGCCATCCACTTCTCAGAATCTAGTGGTTCCACTTCAACTTTGTAATTTGCTTGAAGGAAGTCCATCATCTGAACCTGGCAAAAGCTGTGTGTCACTAAACCCTGGAAAAAATGCAAAGTGGGAGAACTTGGAGTGTGCTCAGAAGCTGGGCTACATCTGTAAAAAGGGCAACAACACACTGAACCCATTTATCATTCCCTCAGGTAAGTGGGTCTTTTTGATTAAATGTATAAAACATTAGAAGTTAAAGATATATAAACTATAACTCAAAATTGCACAAATGATTCTGGAGAGTTCGTTGATTTTTTTAATAGATAAATATAATGATATATCTTTAAAAATCCTTTTCTTTGGTCAGTACTACTGTCTGCTGTTTCCTGAACATAAAGAAGTGTTTGACCATTGGGCAAAACTTTTGATATAAATAAGAATTTTCTCTCTCCAGCCCTGTAAAAATAGGTATTATTTTCACATATCATAGATGAGGAAAGAGAAATTCATAGTATATATACCTCCTGCACACCTAACAAAACTGGATTAAAACTAGGGAATAAGTATCTGGAAGGACCGACTTTATTCTATGCACACAGATAAAGTTGGGTTCAATGTAGCATGTTACATTGAAATCTTCACACAGTAGAATAAATGATTCAAAAACCAAACATAGTCACAAAGTGTTGTGTATAGGCTAACACCAGTCAAATAGTAAATAATTTGTGATTCTGTAATTCTATAGAAGAATTAAAACAGCTAAGACAGTAATGGATTGTCTTTTCAACGTGTTGAAAGACAACCTTCATTTCATATATACACCTATTGTGAAGGGGTGACCCAGGCTTTGCATGGGTTTGTTTATTGATTGATTAATTCATTTATTCATTCTTGGGAAACTTGATGGTCCATGTGGTGCTTTGAATGAGAATGTCCCCCATAGGCTCAAATGTTTGCATACTCAATCCCCCACCCCTTTCAGTTGGTGGAACTGTTTAGGAAGGATTAGGAGATGTGGCCTTGCTGGAGCAGGTGTCACTGGGGCATTTGGGATTTGGGATTTCAATAGATTGGGGCTGTTCCCAGAGTCGGTCTATCTTTGCTTAATGGAATATTGCAATAGTAAAAATAACTAAGACAGCCCAGTTTTTACTTTTTCTCCCTTGACTCCTAAAAGCAGTTTCATTTATTTTTAAATATGATTTCCAAATTCAGAAAGCACCAAATGATCAGTGATGACATTTTCCTCTTACCTCTTTATTTCTGCCACCATGGCTGTTTCCTTGGAAGATTGCTGTTTTAGAGTATTTATATTCCTACCTAGTTCCTCTGTGGGGTATAGGCAAATATATTTACAGTGATTTTTTTCCTCTGTTTTGTACAAATGTCTGTAGGTGCTAGTTTTGAAACTTTTATTTATGCTTCTTATATCTCTTTCTCCCTACTCCACCCCAGTCCCTTCCAATACCCCAACACCAGGTAGGAGAGAGAAAGGGTTAGTGGGAGAGGGGGTACAGTTCTCTTAGCTGCTTCCTGCTGATTAGTGTTTTCCAGTTCCTTGGAGCCAGTGCAATCCCTGTTTCAGGAGATCTCCAACTTCTTGTCTTGCTGCATCAACAGCAATGGGAGCCTCAGGGGGGGAAACAGCAGCAGCCGTGTTCTTTCTCAGAGTTACTTCACACTCTCTGGGCTCTGGCATTTATTGTCTCTCCAGAGTCCTCAGATTTAAACTATCTGCAGCTGGCAAAGAGCTTCTCTTAGAGCCGGCACGAGGCAAATAGTCTGCTGCTGTGGATAATCTGAATTAGTCCCACATCTCACAGGCATTAAAACAATGCTTATATCTACAAAAAATGGCAGCATACTTTTTATGTAGTCCTCATCCTAAGGCTTTGTTAGTCAGCAGTTTTGTTCATCATTCCTTTGGCGGTAAATTAATTTTGTTTGTTTTCATTTGTGTGCATGTGTGTACATGTTATAGGCTCAGAGTACAGCTCCCAGTCATTCTGTTCTCCTTTTAATTGGCCCAGAACTAACTCATCAAGTTGGCTAGACTGGCTGGCTTGGAAGCTTCGGGTATCTTCCTATCTCCCATCTTCCCAATGCTGGGGTTATAAGCACATGATTTTTATTTTAATATGTATTAAACTTAAACTCTAGAACCTGGGAGGAAGGAGACAGCACTTTCCCAACTGAGCTATCTCCTAACCTTGACTGTTACTTTGCTTCTAATCTTTTGTGAAGTTGAACAGCCTTATGTCATTTTGAAAATGTGTTATTCTTAGAAATATAATTGCTACATCAGAGAGTAGGTGTGTTTACAGTTTTAGCAGATAAGCTCTTGGACAGACATGGTGAAGGGCTCTGGTCCATGATCTCTGATGGATGTAGTCCCTGGTTTGTAGTGTTTAATGGACATGATGGATGCCCAGGCTCATGACCTGTGAGAGATGTGGGTGGGGGCTCATGGTTCATGGTTTCAGTTCCACTTGACAGACTTTCGAGAGTGATTGTGAATAAACCTGAGGAGACCTCAGGCGCACTTGTAACTTGTGTCTTCTATTGCTATTGCAGAAGTGATGGCTAAACCTTTCTTGGAAGAACTCATAGTTCTCCTTCAGAGACCTGCTGTTGCCACTTTGGGGAAGTTTTTTTTTTTTTTTAATTTTCTCTGGAATGAAAGGCAGAGTCTTATAATTTGGCTTTATTGCCTAATCCACCAGTTTTAAGTTCCTCATTTCTGAAATGTGAATGTTGCCAACTGTTCTTTCTGCAACGCCTCATTCATGTAATCAAGCTTGTATATTAAATCCACTCTTAACCCTGCTTCGCTTGCTCAGCTACACTTGGCACTGGCCTTTCCATCTTTATACCGTCATACTGTTAGGATTAGTCTGCTGTATACATAAACCCCTAAGAGCAGAGATTTAAATTTGTAGCATTTTCCAGGTGTGATGGCACACACCTTTCATCCCAGCACTCTGGCAGCAGAGGCGGGTAGGTTTCTGAGATCAAGGCCAGCCTGGTCTACAGTGTGAGTTCCAGCACAGCCAGGCTTGTACAGAGAAGCCCTGTCTGAAAACATCTACCCCCACCCCCCACAACTCCACATGAGAAAAAAAAATGGAGCATTCCTGATTGGTGACCCTCTTGGCAGGAATCCAGTCTTGCATCATTCAGTCCTTGCCATACTCCCTGTGTGTCCATAGTTCCTGTGTCTCCATAGCCGTAATAGGCAGCTTTGGAGCTACTAACCATTTCGGTCTTTGCTTGAATGAAATGTGTTTAGCGTGAACTGAGATATGCTGCAGGTGTGAAATACACATTGGATTTCCAAAACTTAGCATGGGATAAATGGACAATCTTATTTTAGCTGATCATGTATCAAAATGATAATATTTTGATATACCAAATGCAACTATATTGTTGACCTTGAATTGCTTCACTTTTATCTTATTGGCTAGGGCCTAAAATGATGTGTGTGGCTTGCGTTCTAGCCACATTGTACACAGTGCCCATCTTGAAAAACAAGGAGTCTTTTGCGTGGGTTCTACGGGAATCCTGTTCATTTCACTTGGGTTGGTTATTTCCTGTTTTCAGACTTTATGTATGTTCTGTTCTGCTGGACATTGATCACAGAACCTCCTGCACAGTAGACCAGGATTCTACCCCTGAGCTAGAGCCACGGTAGACATGCTTTAAAATGCTCTTCAGGGTCATCTGTTAAGTTTTGGAAGCCTTTAGCATTGATTGGCATTATTTTCAGTTTCCTAGACAGAAAAATTCAGACATCCCACCAGAGGGCTCCATAGCTATGCTAACCTTTCTTTCTTTCTTTTTCTCTTCTTCCCTTCTCCTCTCCTGTCTGTTCCTCCCTTCCCCTTCCCTTCTCTTTCCTCCTTTCTCGTCACCCCTTTCCCTCCCTTTCTTCCTTTCTTTCTTTTTAACTTTTTTGGCAACCCCTGAAAGTGTCAGGAATTGATATTGTACTAAGGTTTTTAAATAGGAAATTTTATTTTACAGCAGTACAACTTTGGCTGTTGTAAATTAGAACTTTCTCCCATTTTTGCCTATGCACAAAGAAGTTTCAGGCAGTCTCTGCTCTTAAGGAGAAATGGGACTCATTCATCCAAAGAGTGACGAAAGAGCCAACTGTGAGAGTCAGCAGGAAAAGCAGGAATTCAAGGCCACCCTCAGTTACTTCCTGGGACCCTGTCTCACCCTTTCCCCACCCACGTGCCAGTGTGATTAAAGGGGCTGGTTTTAGGCATTAAATGAGGCATTACCTTAGAGATCACTTAATATTTAGCTTAAATATATAAACTGACCCAATATCACAGATTATGTAAAACATATCTGAAAAGCAGCAGAAGAAACCTGCTTTATGTCCAGTGGAGTATCATTTTCCTTTCACACTAACACTCACTGTGCTGGCTGTGTGCCAGGGACCCCGCCAGTTTCAAAGGCATGCTGGGAAGAGTTGATTGTCTTTTCTTTTAGACATCTTCACTGTAGCTCCCCGTAGCTCATTACTGTCGAAGATTTGCGGCATGTAATCAAGGTTACGACACTTGACCGCAACGTCTCATAGCAACAGTGAGGGTGTTTAGCACTGATTTACTTAAATCATAACGATTCTGTGTGGCCTGTCTCTGATAAGCACAGTGCCTCTGTTCTTTCTTAGTTCAAAATAGAGTGGGGATGGGTGATTTAGTACTAATAAGGTTTCTGTTTAAAAGTGTGTGTGTGTGTGTGTGTGTGTGTGTGTGTGTGTGTGTGTGCGCGTGTGTGCGCGAGCTTTGATTCATATGCCTGCTTAAAACCCCCTTGTGGCAAATGCAGGTTTGGCCCAAAAAGCTTCTCAACCTAGACTGTTTTTATGGCCACAGTACTGGGCGACATCTTTTGGGAGTGAAAAATTGCTATTGGGTTAGTGCAGAGGGACAAGTGGCAGGCTCTTGGAGTGGCGGCTGCACAGGTTCCTGGGTGTCCACGCCCATCGTATGCCCTCCCTAACAATGTCCACACTCATCCTCCTCCCTTCTTAACACTGTCTCCTGCCTGCATTAGGACTCTTGCTCTTTCTCCAGTGGATGGCAGTTTCCTTAGAGTCCATGAGAACAAGGTGTGTTGCAGTCTCTTAGAAGCCAGATTGAGTATCTGTCTTCACGCTTTCCATACTTAAATAGTGCATCGAAGATGCTTGGTTCAGGTTCGCAGGTGACAAGGACAGATACAATTAAGTGATCTGTTGGTAGGCTTGTTGCAGGCACACATTTTATATTTTATATTTCTCATTTGTCTTTGTTTTAATTAATTAATGGCTCTGGGGTTTGAACCTAGGGCCTCACATATACGCTAACATTGCGCTTGTTTCATCAGTCCTGACTTCATTTTATGTTTCCCAAGGTAATATTTTTATTGATTAGTTGGGAGTTCCATACAGTGCACCTGATCACACCTCCTTCCCATTCCTCCCACGTCCACCCTCCCACCTTTGTGCCCTCCCCACAAAAAGAAAACAAGATTTGCCAAGTCCAGTTTGTGCTGCCCGTATACTCATTGGAGTATGGTCATATTCCCAGTGGCCAGCAGCTTAAAGATAATGGAGTCCTTCACCACCCCACCCACCCCTCCCCCGCCCCATCAGAAGTCATCAACTGTGAAGAGCCGTACCTCAGCTTCTTTAACACAACGTTTTGTTTTGTTTTGTCTTTTGAGACAGGGTTTCTCTGTGTAGCCCTGGCTTTCCTGGACTCTCTTTGTAGACCAAGCTGGCCTCTAACTCAGAGGAATGACCTGCCTCTGTCTTCCCAAGGGCTGGGATTATAGGTGTGCCTGGCTTTTATCACAATTTTTAGGAACTCTCTTCCATGGCTTCCAGGATAGCTGAGTGAACTAAGGTGGTAGACATTATTTGGAAAAGATATTTTTAAAATCACCCCCTTTTAAAACAAAACGATATATATCGTATATCAATATCTCTTATGAATGTGTATGCCATAAAATGTAGAATGCTATTTTTATGTCTACAATTGTGAGGTATTTAAATACATAATATACATATTTACATAGGGTAGTTGAAAATGTTGCAAATTTAGACAAACTTCTTTCAAATGCTTTCTAAACTTCTTCTTCCTTTCTAGAAAGTGATGTCCCTACTGGCTGCCCTAGTCAGTGGTGGCCCTATATGCTTTCTAAACTTCTTCTTCCTTTCTAGAAAGTGATGTCCCTACTGGCTGCCCTAGTCAGTGGTGGCCCTATGCAGGCCACTGCTACAAGATCCATAAAGAAGACAAGAAGATCCAGAGGTATGCCCTGCAAGCCTGTCGGAAGGAAGGCGGTGACCTGGCCAGTATTCACAGCATTGAGGAGTTTGACTTCATCTTCTCCCAGCTAGGATATGGTGAGAAACTTCCCCTTGACACTGAGCTCATCTTGGCTGCCTCCTCTCCACCCATATCTGGAAAATATAATTATGAATGATTCATTTAATTAATTTAACCTGATAGTTGATTGACAATGCAAATGTTACTTCTGCCAACAAAGATTATATAGTAGTTTAAGTAATTGTATCATTAAGGTTAAGAAATTTAATATTTTCTTTTTATGGGTAGTTTTCAATATTGTTTACCTACATAATCTGGATTGAAGGATGTCTGTGTTTAATTTGGCCACAGAGTAAGATTTGGAATTTCTGTGTGTGTGTGTGTATGTGTTTTGTAAGGCGAGTATTATAGCTCTCAAGAAACATCTGTAAACAAACCACCTCACACTTATGATTTTTTTTCTTTACTGGGGTGTCACACAGAGTAAGAAGTGGGTAACTATAAAATATGCTGTCCTGAGCCTTTGAAAAAAATTTATACAATTTTCGGCATGTACTTTTCAGACTATATAGAGAATGTACAAAATCAGAAATAAGGTACTAGATGAGCAGAATCATATGTGAGTGCTTGTTCTGAGGAAAAGCAGGCTAAGAGACAGGAAGACAGACCCCTGCAGGCTTGCTGACTGAATGATGATCATTTTCATCTCTCATGATGGGGCTGCAAACAGCTGCAGCTCTTCCTAAATTCCACCCAGCAAAACAAGAGGAAATAGATGTTGGTGATGGAGTGCCTCACTTCCTTACCAACATTGCCTGAAAACTTACCAGGGTGCAGAGCAAGAAAAATCATTTAATAAACTCACAAGGAAGAAAAGACAGGAGGAGCAGATAAACATGTCAAAAGCTTGCAAACACTATTGTTCCTAACACAACAATGGAAACCATTTGCCTAAGTACCTGATCTTGAGGTTCTGTAGGTTGAGGGATATAGCCCCGTAGGAAGAAAAAGGAGGATTCCCAGAATCCTCAGGGTGGTGCTTCTTCTGTTTTTTTCCTCTGGGTCTTTTTCTTCTGTTTGTTTGTTCTTGTTCTCTCCCAGTTTGTTTGCTTTTGTTTTATTATTATTTAAATGTTTTTGTCTTAAATGAAAATAAGTAAAACCTGGGTGTGGTGACCCTCCTGTAATCCTGGTGGTAGTGAGATGAAGACATGATGATCTCTGATGGTCACAGAATACTCAGCTTGGCATTCCATACTTGGCAAGTTAATTTTTGGAGCCTGTGGAAAGACATTTGAGTTTGTCCTGTAGCCTCTACATACATGTGCGCGCGTGCACACACACACACACACACACACACACACACACACACACAAATAGCCCTTGCAGTATGTAAAATCTTCCTAATTATTCTATGCTCATATAGCCTGGGAAACTCAGATCAAGTGGTGGAAGTGTAATCACAATGAGAGTATCTAAGTAACAGTCACTCAAGCTTCTAATGACCTATTGAGAAGCTAGCTAATGGACCAGTGTTAGAAGCAGCTTAGTTAAGATGCCAGAGGACTATCCATCCTACTCTTTATGACATGATACAGCTATAGCAGAGTCAAGTATTTTTATAGCCATAGTTATTTGTGGAAGCTGCATGACCAAGGTTTCACTTCAGTTCAGTCTGAGAACAAATGAATGAGTTAGGAAAGTTTCCATTGAAAACAGGAGTTATGGGGATTGGAGAGATGACTTAGCTCTTGAAAGCACTTGTTACTCTTGCAAAGGAGCTGGGTTTGGTTCACAGATGGCAGCTCACAACCATTTGTAATATCAGTTCCAGAGTATCTGATGTCCTCTACTGGCCTCAGTGGGCATTGCATGCACCTACGATACAGACATACATGCAGGAAAAAGAAAACTCACATAAAAGAAAAAGAAAATCTTTTTAAAAAGAGTTATATAAACAAAGTATTTAAACAACATCATTTATAATATTTCAGTACAGTGTTTTCTAATCTAACAGAACAAAATAATCTTAATAAAAGTAGAAAACTGAGATTATTGCTTTTAAATAAAATCTTTTCAAAAATTATTTTAGTTAAGTGAGATAGAAACTCTAACATTAGTCATGGAACTAAAGTACAAAGTTGGTAATCTAGAGCCTGAGTATGTAAGCAGTGAATACAAGTTCATATAGTTTATTTAACTGGTTTATAGAAACTGATTTAAAACTAAAACACCCCTATGTGTATGCTTATAGAATTAGTAGATTTCAAGGAATCCAACAGGAAAACAGTTTGGTGGGAAAAATATATGTGGCAATGCCATAATAATACATAGTTCTTTATAAACTAATATAAAGAACTTAAAGCAGATATACAAAGAAAACTCATATATAATTGTGTAATTTTGCATTGGTCTGTATCCTTAAGTTCCTGAGGGTATATGAGGCCTCTTTGAAGCCTGTGTTTGTTACTCAAAAGCTTCTGATCTGCCAACTCAAGTGAAAGGAAGAGGGCCCCATCCTGGCACTATCCCCTTTGCTTCAGGATTCTGGAAACATCTGCTAGAGCTGGCAAAAGGCCACTCGAGGACTTCTCCAAAAATGAAGTTGATTGACAACTTCCAGGAGGAAGAAAATGAGCCACTTAAGGACATTCTTGTAGGAAGTTTTCTTCATTTTCTACCCAGTGTCATTGTTATATTCTTTGAAGTCATTGGCTTTTAACATTGAAAGGTTGGAATCAAAGGCTACAGTGTCGTTCCCAGTTAAGCAAATTAAATAGATATGGAGTTGTATAACATTTAATTTTAAAATTGGAAATATTTATTTTGTAGCCATGAAATCTGATATTTTCAGTCACTACAAATTTGTTTCATAATATATTTGACTGTCATTGACTACCATATGTATATATGTCTGTGTGTATATGTACTACAAATTTGTTCTATGATATATTTGACTCTCGTTGACTATCATATATATAGTTCCAGAAATGTAAGTTATTTGTAACAGAAACATAGATTCACGATATTGGGGTAGCTCATTTCATTTTCACAACTCCCCTAAAATATTGTAACTAAAAAATAACAGTGGCATTTACAATGGAAAGAAAACATGGGATAAGCCAAAACTGACATCATAATAGGTAGTCAGTATATATCTATTGCATGTAGATGATTATCTTTTATAATAGTTCTATAGGATCAGGGCAGCAAAGCTGAGTGGACAAACCCAGTGCCCTCCTCCTGGTACGCTGCTGACCTTTCGAAGGTGTACTGACTTTGTACTTAACTACTTTTGGAAATCTGTACATAAACCCTTAGTGTTTTTCTTCCTGTAGAGCCAAGTGATGAGTTGTGGATTGGTTTAAATGACATCAAGATTCAAATGTTCTTTGAGTGGAGCGATGGGACCCCAGTGACATTTACTAAATGGCTTCGTGGAGAACCAAGCCATGAGAATAACAGGCAGGAGGACTGCGTGGTGATAAAGGGCAAGGTGAGGCGCTCTGCTGATGCCTGATGATGGTTCCAGGAACCTCCTTCTGCTGCGTGGGTACTGTCTGTTGAGATTGCTTTTGTTGTTGGTATAGATTCTAGTGGCGCCACAGTTGAATTCAGTTTCATGAGTGTCTGTCTCACTATGGTCTAGCAAAGTCAAGAAGACCATACAATAAATGATATAAACTTTTGGCTAAAACGGTAACATGAACTAATAAATATTATGTCTCTCTGCTGAATTCTGAAGTATATACATATATGTGCACACAACACCATTTAGAACATATTTATGTATAATTTGTGTATTATGTATATGATTTGGTCCAACAATTTGGCAGTTACATCGTCTGCTGGTTGCTCTGAATAGAAAATGTACACCTAATTGATTCTATTTTTACTCTAGAATCTGTAGTTGAGGAGCCACATTTTAATTTACAGTGTACATGCTACATGCAGGTCTTGTATTAAATGATTCCTTCCATGTTGTAAACGTGATTTCAGTAATCAATGAATATTTTTCTTTTAATAGATGGTAGATATGAGACTTGTATCAATTCCTCCCTCACTTGCATAGGGGATAATAATTGTGTGCATCTCAAGTGTGGAAATAAATATTTTAAAGCCTTATGAATATATTATGCACAGTTCTTGGCCCAAATGTGTTATTAATACGTACTACCTACTATTTTTATTATTTAACAATTATTATAATTAATTGAAATCTTGAGAACAGAGTAGATGTGATCTAGTCAAGGAGAGGACAGAAGAAACTGGAGAGTAACATTTAGGAGTTAGAGGAAGGTGAGTGGGTAGGAGAGTAAGATTTTGAGGATCAAGAAGCGAGAGAAATTATTCTTAAGAGCAGAAGAGAAGAATCTGCAGTTTATGGCCATTGCTGTGGCTGTCGTGCTAGAAACTTGATTGCAGAGTAATTAAAGATAAATAAAATACAAACATTTTTCAAAATATTTATCAATAAAGGAAAGAGGAGGAGGTCTTAGCTTGATGTGGCTAAGGGAGTAGGAGGTGTTAAAATCTTAAACAAGGTGGAAGATTAACCTCGATCCCCAAGGACCCTCATCAACTAGATGAGAAGGAAGGAACTATTACTGTGGCTTCAGGTTTGCTCTTAACTCTAATTGGCTGGCACAGGATGTTTTCTTGGTTATACACAGTTGGGTAACTTGACTCAGGAGGAGACTACATATGAACCAACAGTGAGCATTTTGCGATAAGGACTTCTAAGAAATTAATTTTTTTTGTTAGTTCCCTCCACATAGTGGCTTTGATAAAGAACCATATTTGACCTACAGTCGCTTCACATCTGTGTACTTAGAGCCAAATATGCTTCTAAATTTCAGACATGAGTGTACCATTTGTCTGTAGATGCCGGCTTTCCTTAACCAGCATATATAAGGCCCTGTGTTCAGTGCCAAAAAGAAACAAATGCTCCAAGGTCCTAAAACAGATAATCATTTATTTTTCTTTTTGCTCTGTAGGATGGGTACTGGGCCGATAGAGCGTGTGAGCAACCACTGGGCTACATCTGTAAGATGACATCACAAACTCATGCTCCAGCGCCCGAGGAGGCAGATAGAGGCTGCCGGAAAGTGAGTACAGCCTGAGCACAATGATTGAGATTGCCCATTGGTACAGCAGGCTTTATTTTGCCTACTTTTCGTCAAAGACCCGTGTCCCAACTGTATAAATGATCCTCCGATCATCCTTCTTGAAGTCTCCTGGGGTAGTGTCCAGTTAACGAAAGGGCACACCTGCTTCTTGGCTGTGTTTGCAATGCCGTGAGAACTGAAAAGAAAACAGGGAATAAGATGAATCAGTGGGTGATGAGATGAAGACGGACTTCAGAAGTGTTGTGCAAGAATGGGTAGTCTGTGACCCTATGGAGAATTAGAGATAGATAAATAGATAGAGCTAGACAGAGAGACAGACACACAGAGAGACAGAGGCAGACGCAGAAACACAGACACAGAGTTCTAGAAAAATACATATTGTAAATGATTTCTAAAAGCATAAAGAAAGCACAAACATAGTTGTGTAGGCTTATGTGACTGTTTTCCTGTTTGAGGAATAGCTCATCTTCCTCTTTTGTACTTTCACACTTCTCCTGGATTAAAGGCAAAGTGAAAACTTAACAGTCTTTTCATAACATTTTCAGTGCTATGCTGTGGTCACCTTGTCTGGTAACAGATACCACAAGATCAGAGTTTCTGACACATAACTTGGTATAGGGCACATAAGATGTAAAGAAAAACAGGAGATAGCAGAAAAATCACAGCATGTGAGAAATGCATGAAGGGTCTTAACAATGGTCAAAATTCCTGCTAATTTTGCATCCAGAAATTTTAGCCAGAGAAGTTATAAAGTTTCTTTCCTTTTTGTGTGCATGTTCATGTGGATGAACATGTGTGTGCTGGTGTTTGTGCTTATGTGTGTGTGTGTGTGTGTGTGTGTGTGCGTGTGTGCATGTGTGCGTGTGTGTGTGTGTATGGAGACTAGAGATCAACTTTGGGTGTAAATCCTCAAATACCATGTACTACCCACTGTGTGTGTGTACTCGTGTCTGTGACCTAAATTAGGTCACAGACCCAAATTAGGTTGGCGATCTTGCTTGATTGACCTATTTTTATTTACAGAGGCAAGGTCTCTTATGGAACCTGGAGCTTGCTAATTCTGGCTACTCTAGCTGGTCATCGTACCTGGGGCTTTCCTGTTTCTGCCTCCTGAGATTGGGGGTCATAGGTGGCTGACATACCTACCTAGCTTTCACATGGATCATGCGGGTTTGAACTCGAGGCCTCACACCTGCTCAGCAGGCACTGTATCCGTATAGTACCAGTGTTTATATTCTCATGTGAATGCATTTTAAGCTTCTTTTTACCTTCCCATCCCTCTACCTGATTTATTAATTCTCTCTGAAACCCTATTTACTCTGTTTAATCTGATTCTTGTATTTTTAATTTTATTTCTGTATTTTTTCTCTTTAGAAGTTCTGTTTTGGTTCAAACCTTTTATAGTTTGGTCTTTATTTTATCATTGGCTGTTAAATCATGTCAAACTGGATTATTTGTATCATACAGCTTTCTGATTGTTCTATTATGTGAACTCAGTGATTCTTACCTAAAGCAAGACATTTTCTTACTTAATTTTTGTTTGTGAGTTAGCGCCCATCTGCTAATTCCCACAATGGCTTTGTCTGTACAAATTTCTCTATTATGTAGTTTTGTATTCTTCTTAAAATATCTACAAATTCTGGTTGAGGAGACTAAATATTACTTTGTCATTCAGTTATGGATTCTACGTGTTTACAGAGTGAAGTAGCACAGACTTGGCAATTGATTGACTTTGGCAGTATTGTATTGAAAACCCACAACCTTGAAAACACCAGGCGATTACTACTGAGATACAGTCACTTACCTTTTTGGTTTTTGACAAGGTTCTGCTATGTATAGCCCAGGTTGGCATCTGACTTTTAAAAGTCTCCCAAGTGCTAGCATTACAGGCATACCTGGATGGCATTTATTTTGAAACTTAAGACTCTTTCCTGGAATTTAGCATGCCAAGCAGATTACAGGCCTGTTAACTTAGAGTGGTGTGGCTCGAATGTTCTATTTCTTTTGCCCTAAAAGAAGGCCAAACTCAGTGAGAGCGCAGTGTTCACGGGAGGTCACTGACCCCAGACCTCAGTCTGCATATGCTCCTGGTTGACCCACAGGTTTCGCTTTCAGATTGGTTTTAGCACCTCGAGAGTTTCTCTCTTCCTCTCAAACTCTTTCCTGGAATTCTGATTTTTATGTACATGATTTTATGTAGTATTTTATATATCTGAAATGTGCGGAAAGAATCATTAGTCATGTACCCCGAGTCTGTTCTCCGATGTTTTATGTTTTATGTTCTACCTTTGACATCAGTGGACTTCTGAGGTTACAGTTCCTCACGTTATTTTCTGGGATTATCTCATGTGAAATGAATTCTGAGCTGTATTATTCGATTTCTTCAGGAATCATTTCACAAGTAGTGTTTCTTGGAAGATGCATCAGAAAGCAAGAGGACAGCTTTCCCTTCATTTCTTGTCATTATTTGCCATGTGAGGAACAAGTTCGTAATGTTTTCTTTATTCACGTGCATAAACAATTTCTCTCACGTTTAATAGCATTCTGATTTGTGTTCGGTGGACACTCCTCTTCATCAACTTGTGGTACATGAAGGAATCCTTTTTAAAATATATCCTAATATATACACCTGATAATCCTCTTGTCTGTTTGTTACCTGATAATCCTCTTGTCTGTTTGTTACTTGATGGCATTCATAGGGCTGGAAAAGGCATGGCTTTTACTGCTACTTGATTGGACACACCCTTTCAACATTTGCTGATGCAAACCAAACATGCACCAATGAGAAAGCTTATTTAACAACAGTCGAAGACAGGTATGTAATTATTTTAAATATTCTAAAATAAGTCAAATAGTGAAGATGTTAAAGAAAAAGATCTTAGGTTAACATGCTACAGATTTTGAAGTAGATTGCATATGATCTTGAGTCTTGTTTTACAAAGTGAAAATGTTTAAAATATTCTTATTTGGAGGCTCAATTGAAAACATTGTAAGACCACTTTGTTACTTTTATGCATCTATTTACTTAGAATATTGCTTTTAAGATGGAGTCTCACTCTGCAGTCCTGGGTGGCCTGAACTTGGTGTGTAGATTAGACTGGCTTCAAAGTCACAGAGATCTAGGATTAAAGGCGTGAGAAACCATGGCTAGCATTAGGATTTAGGAGTTTGTGGCTGATCTACTGAGTGGATGGTACAGGTCTAGTGTTCTCTGACCCATTAGCCATCAAATTTTAAAGAAAAAAAAAAGAATAAGATTTGTTTGCTTCACGCCCCATCTTGTAATTTTACTATTCACTCTGTGGAGAAGAGGGACAAAGAGGACTGACCAAGGAAAGACCAGCTCACAGGCATGTTTTCTTAATGCACACTCAGAACTCAAATCAATTCTGTAATCTCAAAGTTGCAAGCCCTCAGCTGTTTGGCCTGCATTCTTGAATGACAGTTCCTATAGTCCCACACTGGGTTCCAGTGATTTTCTTGAACAACTCAGACAGCTCTGGGATTCAACTCCATTTCCTGATTCACTTAAGGGTTATGACAGAGAGAGTCAGGAAAGAGGGCGTTGTACATACAGTGCTTGTTTCTGAAGCCTGGGGACTGAGTTTCCACCCCACCACCCAGGTAAAAAGCCAGGCATCACAGTATACATCTGCCATCCTAGCTCTAGGGAGTCAGAGAGGCAGATCCCTGATGGATATTGACCAGAGAGCCTGGATGAATTGGTGAGCTCCAGGTTCAGTGAGAGACCCAGACCGAACACACACACACACACACACACACACACACACACACACACACACACA